GAAGAAAATTCCTCTTTAAGATGAAAGGACGGAAGAGAATATGTCATTGTTTGTCTGAACATTCAGGCTGAACTGTTTAAATTGAAAATTAAAAGACTTGCATATTTTCTAGGACTTTGAAATCAAAAACTTAAGTTTCATATGAGGATTAAAATATTTTCACTCTTGTAAATCGTGTAAGCTAATTATTTGTGGGACTATTTCCTGATAAAAGGATTTGGGAAATATTTGTATTACAATCAAAAATCAAATGGCTCTCAGTCAAGACATTTTAGCTTTGACAGCCAAATTATTTTGCATTTTTTTTTCTTAAGTTTAGTTTAATATAGGTTGACCAAGTTTTTTTTTAATAAGTTATTAACCTGAAATACAGTATTAGAAAGTGGAGTTTGACTTTCAGCTGAAGTGTTTCAGTGTTCATTTAACATGTCCTTAGGAAGTGTATGAATTCATATCCTTTCAGCTATGTCCTCTCAGCATACATCTTGACAAAAATTTCTCCTGATATGCCATGAAGTTAGATTAAAAAAAAATAATAGGTAATTTACTCTCCTATAATCACTCCCCAGGCAGTTAATAAAAAAAAAAAAGAGAGAGAAGTAGTAGTAGGTACACCTATTGTCAATTTTGATGGGAGGATAGGGATGGGTTCCTTTTCTTTATAGTCCAACAAGAGGCCAAATAAGCAGAAATATTTATGAGTAATTTATGTTGCCTCAATTTCCTAAGTGCAAAGGAACCTTGAAATTAAGTTTCAATATCCTGGTCTTTAGCTGAACTTGAACACTGGCCACAAACACTGATGGAAAGTAAATAAATATATCAGCAATGAAAGCAGGTCTGAAATATTTACTATACTTAGTGTGGAACAAGGTCACAATGGCCAGACACACAGTGCAGATAGAATGTACAAGCAATGACATGTGAAACAAGCAGGCTAACAATTTCTCTGTAACAAATGTCTTTCCATTGTTTCACATTTTTAAGTTGTTTACCTTATTTCATTCCTCTTCATGTCTGTCTCTGTGACTTCTTTAAAGTCCTCATGTTGTAGCGACAAAATTTTATAACTTACTCTGTGTTGTGTAATGACCATTATTCTATACATCTTTTACCATGGCTGAACAAAACAGTTTTTAGATAAAATTCTCAGCTGCTTTGTCAACAATATATAACTAGATAGGCTCTTTAATAAGTTAAATATTTTAGATTGAAACAGTAAACACAAAATTTAGATTACATTGGCAAAAAGTTGTTTATAATTACACCTGTGTGTTACCTTGTAACACAATGGCTCTTTGCTTAAATTGGCTTAGGACACATGAAGTTAGGTGAACTTTGAAGGAGTTAATCTGGACCAGGTTTTATGAATGTAGAGAGTGAACTCTAGAAATGACAGTTTCAAAGTAACCACTCACTGACCAATGGGAATAGAGTAACTGAATAAATGAAAACTTTGAGGATCAAGTGCCACACCCAGAACTTAGGAAGCTCCAGTCATAGGCTTATATAAGCCAAGTCACAGTTAGAATGGTCAGTTCTGGTGCAATCCATTGGCAAGGCACAGCCATCTGTTGACATGTAGAGACAGTTGCAGTGAAAGATCAATAAAGGGACAATCAGTTCTCACTGGTTGAAAAAAAAAAAATCTGGTCTGTTGTGAAAGGAGACAGAAGTAACAGATCTCCAAAGTGTCACCTACCTGCCCTCAAAGCATGCCAAGAGAATCCATGAATAAATAACCAATATTGGAAACAGGATTTGCTTTCTCATTTTTTCTGTGGCATTATTTCACTTTTGTTCAATTCTGAACATACATCGAGCCTTTTCCAGTTTTTGTGCAAACCAATACAAACAAAAACTGAAATGCAGTGTATTTGTCCAGTTGGTGAAAGACTAAGCCCCCTCAAGTATGCTTACAACCCATAAAAAAAAGGAATGATAGATGCTATCTTTGCTCACTCTATGGCTAGTCACAGTCAAGTGGCTTTACAAAGAAAAGAGATCATTGTAACAAGAATTTAAGCTTGTTATGACATATCACAATACATTTGTTAGTGCGATATCTTGAAAATCACAAAAAGCAAGTTCAATCCAAAAATTTTGCTTGGAACTAAAATTGTCTTGTCCAGTGGAGACCTTGATAAAGTTTAACAAAGAAGAAAAATAGATGGAAATCGCAATAAAAAGTAGAGCGTGAAAGAATGTTTTACAGTAGTGCTTCTGAAACAGGAAGCACTTTTTATTCAAATTTGAAATGCCATTCTTGGTTAAGCCAAAAATTTCAAAAGAATTAGTTTTGTAATTCTTGATCTCTTCTAAGCACTTTCCACTTCTTGTAAAGAACAGATTAAAATCAAAAGTTATCTAATTTCAGAAAACTATAACAGCATTTGTTTAGAGTTTTTAAACAGGTTTTAAGATAAAGAAAATTATTTAGAAACTCAACTTTGATAAGTGAATTTCTAAAATAATATACCAATGTTGTCTTTATAATAATTGAATGATTTTTTTTAAAAACATTCTTACTATTCCTCAACATGCATGGTATCCCCCAACCAACATTCATCTCTTTTAATCATCCTCTCAATCTTTATAAAAATCTCATGCCACCTGAACATATACACATTGTGATATGAATGCTTCCCGATAAATTTCAACATACAAAGATTTGATAACCATTTTATAACACATTAAAAAATGAGAACAGATTGAAAATTTCAGGTACTGTTTATGTTTATCACATTGTGCATATATGAGTGCTGTGGTCTGTCTCAATCTTGTTAACTTAGCTAAACCTCTTATACCAGCTGACTATATAAAACTACCTTTGTCTACTAAAATATTAAAAAAAATTTAAGTCTTATGTAAACTTGAGATATCTGGCAGTCTAATGTTTATCTAGATGCTATGAACTACCAATATTTATAGTACCTAAGTCCAAAATACTGAAATATTAAATAAATGTCATCCAATGGCTATTTTCATATTTAGTTGTTATAGCTTTACATTACAATTCATTAACCTAAATGTTTTGCTTAGGAATTTAACAATGATTAGTTTCTTTGAGATTACAAGTTTTTCTTGTATTCATGTTGGATTTTTTAGAGTACAGTTAACCTATTTGTTGGTATTACAAGCTTTGTCAGTGGTTATCCTGCATTAATGGATTTCATATTGTCCTTTATTTACATATCCCCCCCCCTTTCTACTAATACCGATAGAGTTCTTAAGCTTCGTTGGTCAGAGTTCGGTTAAGATAAGAATTTACCTAAATAATTAATTCCATTGCATGTACTAGAGAACGGAAACACTACACACATCTTTACAAATATATTCTCTGGTGTAATTAGTGAATAATTTTACGTAGAAAAGGTTAAAAAAAAAAATCATGATTCAATCATTCCAATTCGTATAAAAGAGCATGTGGATATTCATCAAGTTTTTACTGGTCGATTACAGTTTTACTTTTACATTTACACTCGACAATTTTTTTTCTACCAACCCGTGAGCCACGAGAACAAACGATCGGTCAGGTGGATCTTTCAACTGCATATGCAACATTTTATGACGTCCAATAACTGATTGTTGTTTGTTTTACACTTATAAAAGGTGGAGTGAATTTTTATTCTTTTTTACTTACTCCTTTTTCTTCTTGAAGCAATCAAAAAAAAACTGATCGAAAAAAAAGAAAAAAAAAAAGAAAAAAGTTAACTAATAAAAAAAAATACATTTTTGATCAAATGTGACAAAAAATATTCTCCTACTACAGATCTCCTGATGATAGGGGAAGAGATCCAAGCACTGCCCAGAAAATTAGTTGGACAAACTTGAACAAATAAATAAAAATCAATTTTCTACTTTTTTTTTTTTTCCAGGCTCAATTAAAAATCCTATCGAGGAAATAATCAATCTCAGATCAGAAATTACCACAAAAACTTTCAATAACTAAAAAAGACAAAAAACAAGTTTTTGGAAGAATCATTTGACTTGGAAAAAAAAGTTTAGTTAATTTAAACAAGAACAAGATGATACAAAGCTAAAACAAGAAGTAACGTAAAACAAGTTACAAGTAGGCACGTCCTTTGTCATTAACTATGTCACAAAAATCATTTAAGATTGTAAGGATTATTTAATTTATGTTAAGGATCAGTTTACGTACAGAGTAATAATGATATAGGATAGTTATTTTGAAGTACGGATGTTCGACTAAAACAAATTTTTAAGGCAAAGTCAAGTGTCTTTTTCAGTTATTTCAAATTAATTTCTTACTTTTCACAATTGGAAATGTCATAAAAAAATGAATTATTTTTTCTTTTCGTGTTACAATTTTAGATTTAAAAAATAAGGCCAAAATTTATTTAATTGACGAAAAATGAGTTAAGAAACATGTTTTTGTATAGTAATTAATGAAAAAATAATAATCTGATGAAAAATAAATTTTTAAACTAAAGCTTTTTGATTCGGAAAAAGTACGAACTAAGAAAAGAAAGCAAATGTGGTACAAGATTAAAAACAAATGAAGAAAAATATATCGTTTATTAAATAAATGTTATTCTTTCACTATTGAAAACACCGTTTATTGATGTTTAAAATAAAAGTAAATTAAATTAATTTTTTAATGAGAAAAAATAGGCAACAGTAGAGTTTTAGAAATTTCAACTGAAAACCTTTTTCAAACTAAAAACCGGAGAAAACTTTTACTTTTTCTTGGAAAGTTCAATATTAAATTATTTTAAAGTAAACCGTGAATGGCCCAACCCTTAAATACTTTCAACCAAAAATTAGAACAACTACCAAGTAACTTAAAACTACCATTAGTTTGTAAGTTATCCTAAATACAGGAATGATTAAAAACCTACGGTAGACATTACACTTACACATACCACACAGGCAAGCTAGGTAAAAAGACGAACATAAAAATACATTTCATCATCATCGTCGTCAAAAGAATATATAACTTCCTTTTAACATTCTTACAGGTATTTTAGTCAGCCTACCTGCATTCCTAATAGTAGATCTATATTATCCGTAGTTCCATTAGAAAGAATATCGCTGGACATTTCTAAAACAACATCGGACTGTGATATTTTTACCCAGCTCGAGTTTAGAACTTCATATCCGTCTACCCTCGCCGGAAGCTTCTCTTGTGTCAATTGCAAGAGTCTGCGCTCGGACCCAGCAAGCGGGCTTCAACTATACATGTCCCAGTCTAAAAGTTGACCGGGTTTTATTAAAATTATATGAAATGTTTCTAAATTTGACTTAAAATTGAATATAAAATTTATTTTTAAAAGTGAGACCGTTAAGTGTGGGATCATTTTCGTAAATAAAATCATAATAAAATAATTTAAATCATCAGATGATAAAATATAAAACTTGAAAGATGTGTAGGGGACTTATAACCCTGAGTAAAAATAATTATACCCCACACCCAACAATTACAAAAATTATTCGTGTGTAAAATGAGTAACAGCAAGACGTGGAAACAACAAAATGAGTACTATTTATTATCTGATTGTTGTGCGGTGTTAGAGACATGAGAAACACTAATACTGAGTAAAACTTTGTAAGTTTGAGGTCAAATGTAGATCAAATATGGATTGGAATCTGACAAAAGATAAAGAATAAGTAAAAAAAAAAATGTTTTTCTCGTATGTGTTTTTTTTTTTTTTTTTTTTTATAGATGTGTGTATTGACTGTCTAGATAATTTAGTTGGAAAAATACAAGAAGGGATTTTCTTACCTCAAAGTTTTATTGAGTGCTAAGAAATAAATGTTACTATTATTGCCTGAAAAAGGAAAAGGAGCCAAAATTTTTGTTGACGTACGTCTTGACAGCCTGTCCGTGTTGACTGCTTGCCCAATAGTGAGAATGTTGTGTGATTGTGTGTGTAGAGGAGAAAAGTGGAGTCACTTCTCATTGGTTTAGAATAGTGATTTTCAACTGCTGTGCCACGGTGCACTAGTGTGCCGTGTAATCCTCTTAGGTGTGCTTTGAAATATTGTCACAACATACATGTGTGTATGTGGAAGTAGCAATGATACTGCATTTAGTATTTTACTAAATAAGCTGCACAAATAGTTCAATAGAAACATTGAAATAAAGTAAGTTTAAATTTGTGTGTGTATTTTTTAAAATATATGGTTTTATTTCATAACATTTAAATGTATACTCTTTAAAAATTTTGCTAAGAGTTCTATGATATTTTTATTTGCTCCTAATTGTGCCATTGTTTAAAAAGGTTGAGAAACACTTGTTTAGAATGAGTGAATTAATGATAATTATAATTGTTATAATTATTTTACCATAATTATTTTGACACTATAATTAATTTTTATTTATTTTTATGGACATAACATAATGACAGTATGATTAATTTTTTATTTATGTATTTCTTTATGGACATGACAGATGAAAAAATCATTCTGAAAAAGGGGCTTGTAAACAATCAATATCTGATTTGATAAATTATATTGCAACTAAAGAATTTTTGCTATAAATACATTAAGTATGTGTAAAAGTTTCCAGCACCATTTTATAAAAAAAAATATTAGTTATTAGTATGGAATAATTAAAAATAATAATTAATTAAAAAGCATGAATAAATAAATATTAAATAGCCTAATTTTGTCTTATACACTTACTTTTGGGAGAAGTTTATTAAAAGAAAGCCTGATGGTTTATTAAGATTTTTTCATTTGTGTGTAAAGTTGTTTGTTTAGAAGGACTGCCACAAATGACTATCATAGCAGACTGTTGGTAATACATTTTTTTCATATTTGAAAAAAATATATGCACCTTGTATTTTTTGTTCAATCAAAGGAGGTAGTTTCCACCCTAATAAATTTAAAGTTGAAGCTTGTTTGATCCACCCTCAAGGGTATATAAGAACATGGGTTGGCAGACAATGGGCAGAAGGGAATGATATGTCCCACAGAAGTGACATATATGAATGAGGCTGGCTGGCTGCAGGGAGGTAGGAGAAGTGTGTGACACATCACATGGAAGGGACAACGCTGGCTGGCTATGGAAGGGTTTCAGAGTTCCTCGCATGGAAGTTGCCAGCAGAGTGAAGGGCAGAAAGGTTTTGACATTCTTAAAAACTACACCAATGAAAAAGAAGAACAAAGAGAACCTTTTGGCCAACCAAAAAAGAAAACTTTAAAAACAAAAAAATTTCACAAAGATTGTTAAAGACCCCAGTGAACCATGTGGGACTGAAGTAGAAAGAAAACCCCAAGAAATTGAAAAATAATATTAAATCTCCCAGAGAATCTTGTGAAAATACATGTAGGTTTTTTTGTTTATCTATTAGGTTGGGGCATCTTTTTTTCTAAGAGTAACTTCTTAATTTTTTTAACAATCTTTGTATCACCTTCTTAAAGTTTTTTCTGTCATGATTTGAAAAAAAATATATTGTAAATCTATTTTAAACCAATTATTTCTATAATTTTGTTATGTTATCTTGCATTATTCATAACAAGGCACATGAAATTTTTCTGCAAACCCTTTTAGTAAAATTTTAAATTTGTTATATTGTTTTATATCTGTATAATAAATTTTTGTACCTTCCAAATTTCACATTGTAGTTTTTGAGTCTCGTTTGTTACTGTATGCTCCCTTTTTTTAAAATTCAGAATAAGAGAGTGAATGTTCTCTCTTCTCTCACTCCCTTTCAAGAAAAAATTCTTTTAATTTTGTTTGAAAACTAGAGCCTGAGTACACAATAGAAAACAATTATTTTATAAAAAAAAATGCTAGAAGCTTTTGCATTAACCTAATATATAGTGATGTGTCAATATCAATCAACTCCCATCATTGAATTTTCTGAAAATAATATGAATCAACATGGAAATATAAAAAAGTGCCACATATTACTTATGTTTACTAATTTAATATTGGACAATCTTTAAACTTCATGCCTGCAAAAAAAAACAGTATATTAAAAGGACGAGTTTTCCCTTGACACTGCTATTATTTTAACAACCTTCACTCCTCAGCAATATTTATTGTTTTAAAAAGTGATGATTAGAATTTTAATAAAGCCTACACATATGAAGTAAATTTATACATTTTCTTGAAAATTGATAAGAAAAATAATGAACACTTTATTTATTAGATTCTTTATTTATACTATTTATTTATTATATTGTTTATTGGAATGGTTGGCAAAACATCAGCTAAAATTGTAAATAATAAGGATTTCCTTATAGTTGGTTCACATATTTTAATAGTTTAGTAAATGTTTATAAATTTATGAATAAAAAATTGCTTTTGTATTTATTTCTTTATAAATTGTTAAATGATACATATTGCCTTGCATTAATTTTAATTTTTAAGTTTTTAGAATGCTGAACCAGTCTTTCGAACAGGAGTAGAGGTTTATCTCTTGTTTTCTGTTTAGGACTGGGTTTTCTGTTCTTTCTAAATTTTTTAAAATGTTCTTTCACTCACAGTAGCCCCTTGTGTCCTAGTGGTATTATTGTCTTGCTTGGGTGAATTGATTAAAAAAAATATAAGGTAAAATTATTCTTGTAAATAAACACTGTAATAAATAGTGTTTAATATTTTTGTTGTAAATTCTCAAGGACAAAAAATGTAGAAATTCACTTTTATTATATGTTTAGGTTTTATTACAATTCTAATCATTGCTTTTTAAAAGAATAAATATTGCCAACGAGTGATGGTAGATAAAATAATAGCATTGTCATTGGAAAAACCATCCTTTTGACAGACCATTTATTTCTTTTGCGGGTACAAAGGTTAAATATTGCCTAATATTGATTATTTATAAGTGTTATACTCCAAATCTCTTTCTGATTCACTTTACATATATTGGCTGGATGTGATTTATCAGAAAATAAAATAGTCATCTTCTGTACTGAGGCTCCAAGCATCACATCCAGCCCACAAAACAGATCCCTGCAAAAATCTAAAATACAATAAAAAAAACAAATCTCTTTCTGATTCACTTTACATATCAGCTGGATGTGAACACTCAGAAAATAAAACCCTAAATAAAAAAGTCATCTTCTGTGCAGAGAATCCGAGCATAACATCCAGCCCACAAAACAAATCCCTACAAAAATCTAAAATACAATAAAAAAAAAACAATCACAAATGTTGCAACCAAAGAAAAAAGATGAATCTGGGAGCCACCAGGTTTGCTTAAAAGAAAGCCCCTCATAAATGACTGACAAAGAATGCTACCAACAGGCCAGCTTTATCACAATCCAGGCCTCTCTCATTATCACCATGACTTCGATCAACTAACCCATTAAATGCACCAACTCCACACCTTACCAACTCTACCCACATTCAAAACAGCTAGCACCTGTTAAACTACAGCTATAAAAATAGCATGCCTTGCTGACCAAGGGTAGTTTGGATTAATACCTTGATGACATCACATCAATTCAACCCTCATGACTTCTGTCTTATCCACTCACCTCACCAGTGTCAATTTAAACTGAAGATAGACAGATCAACTCCGCCAATGACACCCCACTCGTGGGACCAACAGTGTATACTGTGTGAATTCATACTGGTGAATCCACACCTGATAAATTCTTTTCACACAACTACATATACTGGCATTGAGTGTTATGTATATATTCTAAAAATTGGTCAATACATGCTTGTTGAAAATTACTCATTCAGGAGTATCATATATCTAGTAGTGAGAAGCTGAAAGTTCATTCAGAGTATAACAGAAGGTAGTAGTCAAGATAAACATGTGGAGAAAATTAAAGAATTGAAGTTCCAACAGGGTACAACATATATAATGTAACATTAATGTAAATGTATTTTGTTTGTTGTTAATTTGCATTTTTTCCCTAGCTCTCATTACCCTATTCCCTGTCCCAGAGAAAAAAAGGTATTTTTGGATGGTATTCCAGAAGTGAGTGTGCAGAGCTGGATGAAATTAAGTTTTGTTTTTGTCATATGAGCTGTGGATATTGAAATGAGCACTTCTGTTTGAGTTAAAAAAAAAAAATTAGTATTCTGACAGAATAAGACATTATAAACACTATCAATAAATGGTTTCTGACTTGGATCTTATGAACTGATTTCCATGAAAGAAGTCACATGTAAGTAAATGTCACACACATCTGAGTTGTGAGTTAACTCAGATATAGCCACTTTGAAGCTAAAAGGAGATGACTACTATAATGGTTAGGGTGATGGTTATCTGATGACAATGTTGTTAACCACCATATATCTATATGGCACTGTGTAAGGGCTGAAAGAAAATCCACAGAGTTAATATAAACAAGATAAATATTTATATAGAACAACATATATACAGAAGGATAGAGAGATAAGACTGCAGTTCAAGAGTTCAAAAAGGTCCCTGTGCATATGAAGAGTCTTGGAGAATGTATATATATATATATATATATATATATATATATATAAGTATGTATCACATTATGAAATGGACAAAGTCAAACAATTATTTTAAGACATTTTTTATGTTTATACATATATATAAAAAAAAGAATGTATAAACATAAAAAAATGTCTTAAAATAATTGTCGGACTTTTGTCCATTTCATAATGTGTGACGTCATTTGTTTACATTTGATATGCCATGAGCAGATATGAATGTACATGAGAGAAGATCGAAATTCAAATACAGTAAATTCGACCTTGCTAACTGAGCGCTCTTCTGTGGCCAAATCGGTTAAAGGCATGTCAAGCTAAATGATGTTTCCATATAGGATACAGGTTTGAATCCTGTCGGAGTACGAATATTTTCTGTGAAAATTTCTCGGACATTCAGGCTGGTAAATGTTGTTTAATACTGTTTATTATAAACAGAGCATTTACTGAAATATTTGTATCTATAAAAAAAAAAAATAATGTATAAACATAAAAAAATGTCTTAAAATAAGTATGTATGTATTCAGTTGTAGTAGAAGGAGGTAGGTATATGTATGTGTCTATGTGAGACTGTGTGTGCTGCATGTAAGTGTCATATTTTGGCTCTAGGTATATTACAATGACTGCAGCATTAAAGAATTGATAAAATTAATTTGTCACTTCTGATTTGTTTTGACTGTCTGTCTCTTTATGCTAGTGAAACAAAGAGATCCATTTTGAAACTGCAGCCTGGCTTCAGAATGGTCCATGAGCCATGAACTCATATCCTGGTTGATAACAGATCTTGACTCTGAGTGGTTTGATAGACTACAATGTTCATATCCTTGTCAGAATGATGCTGATTAGTTGGTCAGACTATGTTGTCATATGTTTGTTGAGATTGTTTCTGATTGGTTATGGAGATATGGCCTCATGACCTAACAATTCTGAATTTTCATTTATTTTTTTAAAATGGTGAAATTTTGGTCAACTTGTTATTATTTATTTATTTTTTTATCACTCCTCTGCATTTTGTTTTGAGGTAGGTGTTTCTGACAACAAGAATGGGCTGGTGAAAGGCAGCAAGGAAAAAATCTGGAATTTCATTTTTATAGCAAATAGTAGAATCCCAAGGTCAACTTTATGAGGAAATTGATTGGGTTTTTTTTGTTTTTTTTTTCTGATTGTCCAATATGATGAAGCATTGGTTCTACTAAAGAATAGCACATTTACCACTGCTTTATATCAATGCTCTTTTAAAGTTGTTTATAGCAGTTAAGTAAGCTTTCTAAACAAATGTCATGATGAATTATTTTTGAATTTCATTAAAAGTACTTTGAATGTTCAGGTAGTATAATGGTTAGTGGCTCTGGATGAGAAAACAGTGAGCTAAGTTCAAATTCCAGTCAAGTTTGTTACATTCATTTGCACACCAATACTCTTGGAAATTCATCTCTTTTACCTCCAGCTATGAGTTAAATAGTAAGGTAGATTGGGCTCTCTAGCTGTAGTTGGCAACCACCGTGAGTGGAGAACAACTATGAATTCAAAACTCAACAATCTGAAGCTGTAAAAAGATGATTAGACATAGGATGCAGATACTATGTCTATAAAACAAAAACATGATAGATTTTAACATCAACTGATAATCTCCTGATACCAACAGACACTGAGCTCAAGGAAGATGTCAGGTGTCACCTAAAATACTTATGGGAATTTCAGAAAATTATCTATTTTTTTCATATTTAATATTAACTATCTTTCTGTATTTCTGTGATGAGGTATTGTAATTATTTACATTATTTACATTGTTTGGACTGTTGTCCTCAAGGACACATGTCCCAGTGGATAAAACTGTTGGATCCAGTTGCTTGACCCAAAGAGTTGTGAGTTCAATACCTGGCTACTGCAGTGGTGAACAAAAACTTGGAGAGTTGAGTTTAAGGGAGATAACTGAGACATCCAGGAGAGGCATGGTACATGGAACTAGAACAATCTACCCAGGTGGATGAAATAAAGGGTTCAGTTTGAAATTCCAATCACCTGAAATGGTCGAAACATCATAAATATGGAAATAAAGATGAGGACAACAGTCCAAACAATATAAATAATGTAAATTAATATTAACTTGTTTGGCAACTGTAAGATGATCAAATTTCAAATTTAAATTGTTTGCACTTCATTATACAAGAACCTAAACATATAATAAAAAGTGAAAATTATCCCAGTTTAAATGGAAATTATGGTAAGTTCTATGATCAAGGGTATCATTTTGATGGGCTTTTATGGAATTTATATCAAAAATATAATAAATTATTTTGTTTGGATAACATTGTCATACAGCTTGGCTGTTATACAGAAGCTAAGATAAATTAAAGACATAAAAAAATATTGAAAAACTCAAAAAAGTTATATTTTCAATTTATAGATCCTTACAAACCTCAGTTTATAATGATGAATTCAAGAATTTAAAATTATAAACATTCCAGTCGTAATTAAGTGCTATTAAACAAAATTATATATTTATTTAAATAATAATCTGTGGTATGAATTATTTGTAAAATTATTTTTTTTATAAATTTGCTTAAATATTATCAAGTTTTGGAATGCATCTAGTATTTGATTATTTCTTGAAATTTTTAAATCAAAAGTTATTTGAATCATAATCATCAGAATATTGAAGGAATATTATTCTTGATAAGATTTTGAATTTAAAAAATGTAAGCCACTATTCTTGAGCCATTGATAAATTTTTGAACTGGAGAGTTGACAGGGGAGACAATTCAGTTGCAGCCCGTTTTAACATGGCGGCCGAAACTGGTGATGGACGCGTTCAGAAAATGGAAGTGGATTATTCATCCACTGTAGACGAAAAGCTACCAAAATGTGAAAAACTTGCAAAGGTAAAGGCGTGAAATTTTAATTCACTCTGTTTTATGACTTTGTGGATCCTTAGAAGTTACAAAATAAAACCTTGGATTTGTAGTCCTTAGTAAATAATGGTTTTACTGAAATGCTTTGTCATTCCACTGGTTATACTTCGCCGATTCACCGGCAGATAATTTGCTTTTATCGTCTGTTAAAAAGAATGGGATTTAATTTTGCGTATATTTATTTATTAAGTTGGTTGTTAAGGACTTAGTGCGTTAATATTCGATCCCAGCCACGAGTATTGGAAATTCGGTTTTTCATGGGAAAATAAAACTTCAGTATTTAAAAAGGATAACTTTCCTTAAGTTACGAGAAAGAGGAAAAAAATTAGATTTCAGTTTTTGAAAAAAAAAAGAAATTTATTTTCCGTTTAATGCAATAAAATACACTAATTTTTTAATTACTGAAAAAATAAATTTTTAAAGTGATATTAAACTTTTTATATAGAATAAATTCGATTCAACAAACTCATCTGTTCATAATGTGTTGTACGTAAACATTGATTTTTTTCATATTCAGTTAATCATAACGATCCTATCAAAATAATAAAAACATGTTATTTTAATTTTAAGAATATAAGAGCATAAACCTTTCAATATGATTAGTAAGATCACTTTTTCTCATAACTTTTTGTGTTAAATCTGTTTTAGCGGGGTTTAAAATAGGAACTGCGACCAGAATTAGCCATTTCTAATTTTTCTTATACATCATAATCATTGTACTGGCAAAGTTTAAAAAAAAAAAACTAGTGGGACTAGGTATGGTCATTAAATCAAAAAGATTGAAATATTCATTTTTTTTTTTTTTTTTTGAATAACTTTATGACCGTTGTTCCCATCTCATTTTTTACGTTTGCGAGTAAGAAAGCATTTCAAAATCTAATCAATGAATCTGACTGAACTAAAGAAAATAAAATTACTGACACTAGTTTTTCGCACCTTTAAACAAGAGGATATGATCAACAAGGGAAAACATAGAAATTATAAATATTTCTAACCCCACGACCCTATTTGAATTAAAATAATTCAGTTTTAAACCACTTTAAATTCAAGTTTGATAATTATTATTAACTCTTGTTGGGGTACAAGTACTAAAAATTAAACTAACACCAAATTGTTTATACAAAAAACTTGAAACCAAGAAGGGCGTGTGTGAATGATCAGTACTACAACATAATCTGGACATAAAGTAATTATTTTGGGAATTCTTAATTCAGATTAGATTATTTAGGCTCTAGGTACCACTAAAAAATGGATGCTTTTTTCCTCGAAAGTGAAGCAAAAACAATTTTTTAAATATACTAAAAATCAGAGAATTATCCAATTTAAATGAAATTTTCAGAACTTATTCAGTATGAATGGATTTTATACAGAATGGGTTATTTTATTAGAAAACCTTGTAGACCTATTGGTGGTGGGAATGGAAGGTCAGTGAAGATATTTCAATTTCAGTAAATAAATTTTACAAAATCAACACAGAAAATATTGAAGATTTGTCCTGAAACCTTACAAAAATTATAAAATAATACAATAAAACTCAAAAGTAATTTTTGTTGAGCGTTGGTGTGTTCATAATTTAATAAACGCTTTTTTTTTTCTTTCTCTTTTAGATTTAGACAGAGGAAAAAATTTGCAATAAATATTTATTTAAAAAAAAAAAATTACTTAATTTTTCTGAGTGCTGGTTACAAAAAAGATCATTTTTATTGAGTTGTCTGAAGAATTGAAAAATGATGCCATTTTCACATCAGAAATATTTTTAAAAGAATTTTATTTATTATTTTCACAGTTGTTAGGTTACTTTTTTTGTATAGAAGATTTAATAGGGAATAATACAACAATTTTAAATTACCTCCCTATAGTATTGGTTATATAAGGTTAAAATTAATTAATTATATGATGTCTGGAGGTATCTAGAATATTTTATGACATTAAAAGAAAACAATGAAAGCAATCAATAAACAGTATCAATTTTCCTTAGCTTTTTTTTTTTATTTTTAGCAGCACTTTTTATTTAATAAATCTTAAGATAATTGAAAAGACCAGATTTGGTGAAGTTAAATATTTTTTGATATTAAATAGTTAAAAAAAAAGATAAAAATAAATAAATAAATGTAGTGGATAATTAAATATATATTCGTACCTTATTGGTCTTAGATAATTGAAATTTGACTCTCAGTCTGAAGTCATTGTCTAGTAATAATAAATATTTATAAAAAAAGTAAAATAAAAAAAAAATGCTTTCAACACCACTTAACAGGCTTTGTAACTACTTTTAAATATTTTAAAAGTGGTACAGAATTGAATAATTGCAATGAAAAGGGATATATTAAAACAGGAATAACAAAAAATACCACGGATTGATGCTAGTGCCAGGTTTGTTTGCCAAATTTCTGCTGATATGAAAATTTGGTTTGCCAATCAACACATTATCTTTGCTGCCCAACCAATGTTAAGATTGATGTTCTACCTAACCCATCATATCTGTTCTGTAATTAATCATTTTAAATGTCTGTGCAATGCTGACGATATAGGTAGAACAGGTCAGAGGTTAGGAGCAAGGAATAATCATCAATATTTGGAAAGGCAATTTGAGCAATATGCATAGGTGCATTAAATCTGCATCTGATATAGGATGTGCCAAGTCCTATAACCAAGACATGTTCCCGATACTAAAGAAACCTCACTGATTTTCACCTTAATGTTTTAAAGTTAGTTTATATTAAGTCCTTCCAATCATCTCTCTGTTAGCAGAAGTCGTCACTGTTAGATTTTAGGTTTAAGTATAATTGGCTTTTGATGTTTATATATTTATGTAACACCTTGTCTCTGGTGTTGATTTTAGTTCTAGTTAAGTTAGTTTTTTTTCTTTTTTGTTCATTTATTTGCTTTTCAATATTACGACTTTAAGGTAATGTAAACCTTTTTATTGTTTTTTTTATATACCTATTTTAATTGCAATTTTTAAACTACTTTTTTGAATTATTTATTTTTCTTGCAGTATAAAGTAAATGTACTCATAACATTATTTGCAAAAAGAAAGTTTTTTTTTTTGGGGGGGGGGGTACAAAAATAATTCTATGTTTGCAACATAGATCCAGTGTTAATATTTGTTACTTTATTTCTGAATTTTGTATAAAATGTTTATAAGTTAATAACCTTTATTTGTATTAATTTAAACTCTGCTCTTGTCCTTTTTTTCCTTTTCAGCAAGGAAACCTTGTTGAAGCTATTGATATGCTGCTCAGCCTTGAGAAACAGACGAGAACTGTGAGCGTGCTTTTATTCATTTCACTGGTTCATTAAAAATAGTTTAAAATATTTGCATAAGACTATAATTATTAAAATTAGCTTTTTGTTCCTCTTTTATATTTTGTAATTTAACTGATTTTCTTATTGATTTTTATACATTTTCTCACTGCTTGCTCATGTCCTAAATTTTTTCATGAGTTTATGAAGATGTTTGCTTTTTATTAGTTTTTAAGAATAATTACATTTTTACTGTTGGTGCATATCTGTGGCAAATTCACTAAATTTCTAAATAACTTACTTTTTACAAGTCCTTTTAAAATTGTTTTATAACTAATTCTACATTATTTACATGTGGACTATTGTCCACATCTTTGTTGTTGTTATCACAACGTTTTGGCTGTTGTGCCCTCAAGCCTTCATCAGGTATTTGTTAATTCTGGTAACCTTCAGGGAAATTAAAACTGAATACTTTATTTAATCTATGAGAGTTAACGTCAATTCTCACCATCCATATAGTGTAAAGAAAAGTATCATCCAATGCCTATAACATCATACAAAAATCATAAGTGGTGACCCAGACACATACCAACAGGAAATGATCAGCATCAAACATAATCTTCACAATAACAACTACCCTACAAATATAATATAGGCTCCTGCAAACAGAAAGTTTAAGTAGGATGACTGGAAAATTGCCACAGTCTGTCTCCCTTACATCAAGTGTTTATTGGAAAAGATTCAGATCTATGGGCCATACAACATCAAGACAATATTCAAAGCAACGTGACCCTACAGAGAAATCTCTGAGTCAAGCCTAACACAGAGGAGAACATGACCAAGAATTATGTGTATTCCATTCCTTATAGTTATGGCAAAGAATATAAAAAAAGTAAGGTTGGAGGAACATAGAAAACAGTAATTAGGGGTTAGACAATTAAATTGGGTATGGCTGGTCATATATGGAGGGAAAGGAGTAGTCATCATCTTCTATGGAATTAAGTAATAAATACTAATCAGAAGAACACTGAAGAGTCAGACCTCTGAAAGAATCAGCACATATGGTAGGCTATAAAGACCTTAGAAATCCTACCATACAAATAAATACAATATGAGAACTGTTAATAGGTATCCCAAACTATTTTTTTTCTTCAATATATCTAAAAGCTTTTCATGTAAGCATATAGAGCTTGACAAAACATAAAAAATGGTATCAAATTTATCTTGCTCACTCAATTAGCAACTGAGTTATGACCATTCAAATTTTGTTGAATTTTCCGTCTTTAGTGCAATTGGGCCAGAAGTCCATTTTAACAGTGTACATGTGAAAATACAGGCTTCAAACAAGTGAAAAATCATTATAAATGCAATGTGATTAAGTCATAAAAAATATAATACTAATGGAATTAATAATTATTAGATAAGACCAGTCTAAAGAGGAGGGGGACATCACATTCTATCCTTAAAAAAAAAAAAAATGCAAAAATAACACAGGAAGGCAAATTTGACCATTCATATAAATTTCAATTCTACAGTTAAGTCATTGAAACTTCTTAATATGTTTCATGTTATGTTGGAGATTAAGCTAAATGTTTTTCATAGGAGTACATCAGTAAAACAGCTCTTATTTCACCATGTAAGTACAGGCAGAAGCAAAATTTGATAATAGGGCAAAAAAGTGTAAAAAATATAACTTCTTGAACATGCTGTAAAAAGTATCTGTTGGAGGTACATGCCTGAAACTTTATTAATTTTGGGATGAGGAATTCAACAAAGTAGTTATTTTGTCTATAATATTAAAACTTTTTCTCATAAATATATTTGATTTTTTTTTTTTTTGAAAACTTTATACAATTTTTGACTTTTCCAAAAAAGACTGACAACATCAAAACTTTGAAACTTGTTATACAAAAGCAATCAGTAGTCAATTTTTCAAACAAATGCTTATTGTAAAACTTAATTTTTAAATTAAAAAAAAAAAAACAACAAAATTGAAATGAGTAAAACTACATTAATTGGAACTTATGAAAAAGACATTCTGGGCGGTTTGAACGGCTCTATTGCACTTTCTTTCCTAATGGTGATTTGCAGTCTGAATTTATTTATAGGCTTCTATAACCAATATTTCTGAAACATTCCAGATTCTACCATCACTTGAAACTGGCATTACACCTAAGTCCTATCTTAAGACAAAAGTTGACTTGACCTGTGCAATTTCACCCACCAAAGGCCATCAGAAATAATTGTTTCTACCCTTAGTTAGAGATAGAAACTTTATTATTGCACTGGTTGACTTGAAGAAACTGGAATCATAGTATATGGCAAGCCTTGTCTTTCATATCTGAAAATCATTTGATATGGTTCTTCTTAATCACAGCTCTCAGAGTTAATTGCTGAGTCTTCAAGTTCTTGTGATGTCATTTCAATGACAGTGATTTCATCAGCTACAAAAAAGTATCATGAAAAGAATCTAAAAAGGCTTTTAAGTTATCTTCTTTAGTGGTTAAAATTTTCTTGGCTGTGTTAAATGTTTTGAACTTGCTTCAGCAATCTTGACTGTTCCATCCTTATATTAGGATAGGTTGCAGAACTATGTAAAAACATAGAATTCTTGTATCAGAAAAGAAATAGGGATAAAAAGAAGACTGCTCCTTAACAAAGATTTTTCCATGGCCAAATATGAATGTGTAAAATGTAATTATTATTTCTAGTTTATTTTTAATGCCTATTTACTTACACAATAAGTAATTTACTTTATACAATTTTAGAATAAACATAAATATAATAAAAAGATTTTAAATCTCCTAGAAACTGAAACATCCATTGATGACACAACTCTGAAAAGCTCCAGTGCTTTTAAATCTGATGTTGGTCAGGACATCTGGCAAATTCAAATTTCAGAAACACTTCCTTTTATATTTGCTTGCACTTAAAGTTGGTTGGACATCGTGATATGAAGCCAACTGAGTATTAAAGATGGGACATTGCTCTATAAAAAGGTGTAATTTTTATTTTTAAGTGAATTCCTCTGAATTTTTTTAACTTAGAAATTTTTTTGAAAAATAACCTCAGATTTTATTTTAAGCCCACCAAATTGACAAGCATCCTCTTTTCTTTAAAATGGGACTATTTTAATATGCATAGGAACACACAACTCAGAGTGCAGCAAACTTCAAAACATGAACATAAAATCCTCTGATTTTAAAATGCGGAAAAAGAAACGCCGTCACTGAAATGTGACCTCATTTAAAGATACCTGGAATAAAAACTAATTTTCACATAACGAAAAGAATTGTATATTTATAAAGAGATAACATTAGATTTTCTTTACATACTAATTTTATCAAAATAGCTTTAAAAATAATCAAGATATTGCCAGTTGAACTTGGAGGAAATTTCACAATTTTGACCCATTTTTGCGCCATAAACTAGGCCAGTTTGGGATACCTACTGTTTATAAAAGATAGAAATGACTCCAGGCTTCAGCAGCAGCCACAATAAAAAAAGAGAAGCCTGAGTGACTGCAGTCAAACATGAGAAACAGCAACAGCACTCTTCAACAGCCAGGTTAGGTTTAAGGCTCCAAGTTCTCCACTCAGGATTGTTCCACAGGACAATAGCCTAGTGGATTAAAACATTAGTTTGTGAATTTGGTGACATGGTAATTGTGAGCTCAATCCCTGGTCCAGGCAGTGTGTACTTGTATAAACAAGCAATAATACAAGTAGTAATAAATAAGAACTAGTTGAGATATCCCTAGTCAGCCAAACAATCTACTCTTGTACATTAATAAAGAGTTCAGTTTCAAATTCCCTGAAGATTACCTGGCTCAACAAGTAATTGATGACGACCAGAGGGTACAACAGTTGAAATGTTGTGATAAAAACAACAAAGATGAGAATAATAGTCTGCATGTAAATAATGATAGCTTCTCATCCCCCAAATTTTTTTTTCTTTTTCAACTTGCTATTTGCATTGTTTGTTTACTATTTTATAATACTCAAGTGACATTTTTTGGACATATTGACACTGTTCATCATTGCTTATGTAACTGCTATCCAGCTTGAGTATGAAAATAGATTTACTTTCAAGCTTCAACTCCTTCATACCTAGAATTTATTTTGTAGTTTTCAGGTCAATGCTCCATCAACAAATCCTACATACAAAGCAAAAGCTACTTTTTTCCAAAATGATGAGATTTTAATGAGAATTCTAAATTTGCTCTTTTTATTCAATTAATATTCTTTGGTGGTATTTATTTTACAGGGTGCTGACACTCACTCAACTAGCAGAATTTTAGTTGCAATCATCAAAATGTGCTTTGAGGCCAATAACTGGGAACTTCTTAATGAACATATTGTTTTATTGACAAAGAAACGAGGACAGATCAAGCAGGTAAGCAGTTTGAAGCAAAATATTTCTTATTAAAGTAACAAAAACAGTTCTGAAATTTTGGGGTCACTTAATAAGGAAAGAAGTCTTGGAGAATTTAATACTCACTGGGCATATTAAAAGCAAGAGAATCAAAAGAAAGCGGCAAGAAAACCACTTGACATTTGAGCAAATGGATGGAGGAACAACAACTATCACAAAGACAAAGCAAGGTCATAAAATAGTATTGTTGAAAGCGTCAAAAGACAAAGCTGTGGAGAAACATGATCACTTATGTCCTTTCTAATCAGCCTCTTGGAATTCTTGTATAACATCAGTTGTTTCATTCTCAAAAGTCTGTCAGGTTATGTTATTAAAATATCAACTAGCTTAAAATAGGGGCAAACTCTTATTACTCTCTTTTGAAAATGGCATAATAACATCATCTTAACTTGGTTTCTTTGTTTAAAGATGAAAGATTTTGTTAATGAATAAAAAAAATATATTGTGTTTAAAGTTTTAGAAATAAAAAGAAAAATGTTAAAATTTGAACAAAGCAAAAAAGCAGCTTTGTAAACATTGTTTGAAATTTTATAATGTATTATATGCCCATTTTTTTTTTTTTTTTTTTTTTAAATTGGCATCCTCCTCATTGTTTTGGTTATCCTTTTGATGTCACATCCAACATTCTTGAGATTGAACCCACAACCTTTCTTTTATCATTTTTTGCTAATCTAATTAAGATAGTTCAGAGATTCAAATGTTACAGAGAACTATGAAGCCATTAAGTGGAGTGGCAAAAATTTGCAAGAGAAAAAAAAAGATTCAGCTAAATCTCTATAACTTATACATTATGATCAAAATACTGTTCCATTTGAAAGTCACTGGATGTGACATAAATCTTAGCAAAGTCAACAAGTGTAGTATCTAAGGTGTGACAAAAATGAAAATAGCAATTTGAATAATTGATGGAACAATTTTATTAAGGATTTTTTTTACTTTGATATTTCACCTACAAACTGGGTATTTTGTCTGGTAGAATATTGAATTAAACTAGTGTGACAATCAAAGGAGTAAATTAACAAAGCATCTGCCATTTAAAATCCATTTATTTCTTTGTAAACTGTGGAGCTAGATATTTTTACATTGATTTAATTTTAAACTTTTGCAAATACCTGTATTAATTAATTGGGCAGTGTGTACATAATTTCTTTTTCTTTCAATGGGTTAGGCACTTGAAAAACCCTAAGTTATTGAATATGTTATTTGTTAAATATTATTTAAAGCCCCAAAGATATGTGATCAATAAGAATATAAACATTTTTTTTTATTTTTCATTATCTCGGAGAATCTGTTCTTTAATGTATTGTATGTATTAGGCTTACAATAAATTAGACACAAGATAAAATTTTGATTATTCACAAATTTCATCCGCATGTCTTGTATCTTCATCTGAGAATAAAAAAAATAGTTAATTCTCTTCAAGGATAAATCTGTAGTCTGACATCATTTATTGTGAGGTACCTTTAAACTTAAAAGAGATTATTGTGCTTTATTTTCTTCTTCAGGCTGTCACCAAGATGATCCAGGAGGCTTGTTCTTATGTGGACAAAACTCCAAACCAAGAGATCAAATTGAAACTCATTGACACACTGAGAACTGTCACTGCTGGCAAAGTAAGTTTTGCATACTATCTCTCATTTCTATATTTCATTCTACAATTTTCATTGAAATTTTTTCCCACTTGATTGCATTTTTGTTGATGAAGCGCTTTTATTGTTACTCTTAAATCTTTTTAGTATTTTTTGAAAATAAATTTGATCATTAATTCCTAAATTCAGACTTTGAAAGCTTGAAAATTCAATTCCTTTTTCAAAAAGGAAAAAAAAATCCATTAAAAATTTAATTAAATGAAGCAGAATTGGTTTTGTCAGATTAATCATTAATGTTTCACAATATTTTCAGATTTATGTTGAAATTGAAAGAGCTCGGCTTACACGTATTTTGGCTAAAATCAAAGAGGATGAGGGCAACATCAATGAAGCTGCAAGTATTCTACAGGAACTCCAGGTGATCACTAAAATATTCAGTTATAAATTAATGCATGCAAATATTTGCAGAGAAGCAAGATTGCAAATAGAAAAGTATATAAATTTGATCATTATTAGATGTTAGTTTTTTTGCAGTTAAAGATATATTTCCAAGCTTTTGGTTATTTTTGATATTTTTTGTGAGTTTATAAGATATAAACAGAAATAAGCTTACAAATATTTAATATGGATATTATAAGAACATGAATGTTATTTTCGTATGTACATTTATATGGTTTAAACATCAATGAACATTATATATCCTAGGTCCAAAAGAAAAGTCAAGTTTATGAATAAATTGGTAAATTGTAAGTCCCTTATACTTAAGGGAGATATTGGCCCCTTTTAAGATGATTCTGCTCATATGCATTGTATATGATTTTATTATGAAAGTCAATAGTGTCGCGATAAAATTGCTATTAACCAACTGATATTGGTAAAGTTTCCAGGATATACTTAAATTTATATGAACAATATATTATGTGAGTTTGCACTTATAATATTCATGCTTATTGAAAATATTGATAATTTTTTTTGGGGGGGGGGATTTAACTTTATTATACTAAGTGCAACATAAATTTTTGTTTATGAACAGATCCAAAAGATAAAAGGCCATAGTAACATATTTGAACACAATATGCTATATTCTTGAATAAATTATTATTATTATTATTCTATTACATATTTAGACTTTGACATTCTATAACTTTAATCATTATTTTGATCATGGATTTTTGTCAGTTGTTGTAGGGTTTTAACTTTAACATTATTTGCACCAGTTTTTATTGCTTTCCAGAGACATTCTTTGCTTGAATGTTGTTTTTTATTCTCATATACATCTCTTTTAATGAGGAACCACAAGTTTTCAATTAATAACTGGGGAGGATGGAGACCCATTTCATTAATTTGTCTTTGAAACCTTTTTTTTTTTGGCAAGATGGGCAATCATCAGCATTGCAAAATGTAAAGAAGCATTGTCTTGATGAATATGCTCTTGAGCTTAAAGCTTTTTTTCCAAGAACTTAAAATAATTTTCTACATTTATCATGAGCCATCAACTTTGAAGGGGTCTATAGTTTTACTACTGACAATACTAGTCAAAAACATTATTCCCTGTTGTCTTCTAACTCATATTGATTGATTATTTCTGTGAGGGTCCCAAACTTTTTTATCTAGTTATTAGTTTCATAAGGTGATTGCTTGCATGGCTTTAACTACTGTTTTTAATATTCTACATGTTTTTTGCAACACCTTCAAATATTTTCTTGCTAAATATCTTTTTTAACTCTTATCAGATCTTTTTGTGACAATCTTAAAGCCCCCCCCCCATCTTTTCAATTTCTTTTATTTTGGTTGCTCAATGATCTCTCTTCAACTTTTCCTATTTTCCAATATGTTCTAATCATTCAATAACTTTACAATATCTTGTTTTCTTTTGAGGTTATATATTCTTTACTACTCAGCAATCTTTATTTATAATGAACATACCGGTTGCTTAATAAAATCTTACAAATAAATTATTACAACTATTTCTAATAACAGATATAAAAAGCTGAAATTCACATTATACAGTCAGCATATAAACAGCATATCACCTACATCAGTTAATACATATTTTATTGCAAAAACATTTGACTTGTATTATATTTTGTATTTATTTTATTTTATTACCTTTGCTAGGTTGAAACTTTTGGTTCAATGGACAAAAAAGAAAAGGTAGAATTCATTCTGGAGCAGATGAGGCTCTGTCTGGCCAAGAAAGATTATATCCGCACCCAGATTATTAGCAAAAAGATCAGTACCAAATTTTTTGATGAAGCAGACACTACGGTATGTTCAACAAATGATTCAAGGAGCAAAAAATAAAACTTTACTTTTAGCTATCTTTGTAACCCTGCCAAAAAAATATTTTGTACTTCTGATCTCCCATAGAAGCGTCTTCAGATTGCTTTCAGCTTTCTATTGATATGAAAACAAGGATAATTGCATTTGTGTGTGCTTTATTTTTAAAGAAGTACTATTATTGTGCCTAAAATTGTATTTAACACTTTCACTGGTGTGGATATATTTGTCTTTCCAAAACTTACATTTCTTACTGTTGATTTATGTTTTGGAGACAATATGAAATGTTGGTCCCTATCATTTGTATTATAAACTAACTAATGCTTGATGCTATTTCCCACCCAATGTAGTCATACAGTGCAAAATACAACCTGTTTTGCAATGTCTTTTTATTATATTGTGTGTTAGGTTATTCAGCTTAATCTGTACAGCAGAGTATCCAATCAAAGCCAAAATGGTTTTTTTCCGTGAGAAATCTCCATTGGGATCTTTATAATCATTTATTTCCAGTAAATGGCAACTTTCTATTTTTTCCCAAATTGGCCAGCACAGCCAAGCAACAATATAGCAGTGAAAGGGTTAGAATATTACAAAATGTTTTGTAACTTGCATTAATCCAAAAATGAAATGTTTGATACAAATTCTTTTAAAATTGAAAAGGAAGTTATTGCATGTAACATGTTGAATGTTTATTCATTTTCTAGTTTTATTCTTCCGTAGTTCTTATTTCTATGTATTTAAGACATGTTTTTATCTTTTGATAAAAATGGAGCTATAATGAAAAATTTCCTGGGATATTAAAAAATGATAAACTTCTAACATTTCTAATACTGAGCTGAATAAAAGAAAACTATACCAGCAACAAGTTTAACATTTTTTTTGTACTAAGTTACTCACAGTTCACTTGTTTCATTGTTTTTTATTTTGCAGGAACTTAAGCTTAAATATTATCAACTGATGATTGAATTGGATGAACATGAAGGCTCCTATTTGGCCATTTGCAAGCATTACCAGGCCATTTATAACACTCCAGCCATTCAAGAAGACAAAGACAAAATGGCTGATGTAAGTAAAATCCTTTCATTCATTTTAATTTTCTTCTTGATAAAAGTAAACGAAAAATTTTATCTGCTGTAAAGTAATATTTTTTTTAATGGAATTAACATAGGAATGATAGATAAATTTAATGTTTCACTTTTATTTAAACTTTATCAGAACAAATGAAATATGGAAGAGAAAAGAAAATTCTTGTATTTTTTTTATTTTTGTTTGTTTTTTCATTGGTGAAATAGACCTTGTGTGTATTTGTCTTATTTTGTAGCATTCGTGTGTATAATTCTTGTTTGCGTATCATGATTGAAGTTGGTGTATATGAGATTTGGTCACTAATGTGTGTGCATCTAGTAGATATTTTTTCTGTCTAGTAATGTCTATATGTTGATTAGGGGAATGTTTTGTGTGGGAGTGAAAGAATTGTGGGTCTTCTTTAAGTATGGATTTTATAAAAATTGGTGATATAATATTGTGTTTGGTGTATGTTTATTGATGGAAAAATATTTGCCAGGGTCCCTTCCAAGTATTTTCTACATAATAAATTGTTCTTTTATTATTAGGCTGGCATTTTTTAAATCGAAGTTATAATACTCTAATAAGAAAAGAATATAATTTATTATATAGTCAATAGCAATTTTAATAAATGGAAAACTGTTAAACATCTTTGGATGTTTTTTTTTCCATATGTGGAATGAATTACTATCTAAAAAAATTGCTTATATCAATATATATTTGTTTTGTAATATACAAAACAATTTTAATTTATATATACAATGGTGTCCCAAAACTCCTGAGATAGCAGCCTATAAAGGTAATTGTAGGTGGTGCCAATGTACCTTGACATGGAAATGCCCAAACTTATAACAGTTATGCTTTGTGAGTTAGTGTGAACATTGGTTAAGCTGCTTATAGCAAGGCAGTATGAATTATCAGAGTAAAGAGTGTGATAGTGGATCCTATACAGATGGGATATTCTATTTCTGAAATTTTGCAAATAATTGACATACCTCAGTTTACAGTGTCATATATATATATATATATATATATATATATATATATATATATATATATTATATAAATAATGGGAATGAATACCTGATGGTTGGACACTGCAGTGACTGAGAATGAATCCTTTATAATCATGATCAGAAAGTGGACTGGTTAGAAATGCCTGCAGTAACAGACAGTGGAATAGGATCAAATTGCATCCACATTTAATGAAAGTAGTACCAAATGCAGGTTAGTTCAGTGTTCCTTAGTTCCTATGGGATATAGGAGCACAAGACCCACAAAGATGACCCTGTTAACACCACAATGCTAAACACTGTGCCTCACCTGGGCTTGTTACATTGCTAATCAGACCCTGGAGGATGGTGATATGTACACTGCACGTCATCAATCCTCCAGGGTCATGATTCTGGTTGTTAATGCAGAACCCATAGACTATATTAACAATGTTGGATAATACTCTGTCATCAGTTGCTCTAATTTCTCAGAATTTGTTTTAAGAGCATTCGGGAGACTCCCAAAAAATAGTGTAGCTGCAATGTTTGCCTGACAAAACTCCAATCATAGATGAAGAGGTTTATTCACACTCAAGATCCTATACCTTCAAATATCAAGGGGCTGTGGACAGCTATTGAGATAGCATGGCATCACATCTATCCAGAAAGCTTTCATTTACTTGTGGAATTGATGCCAGGTCAAATTGTTGCATTTTGCTGAACTTGAGGAGGTCCTATATGATACTAGGCACATATCCCGTGACTTTTGCCACATCAGTGTATATATTAGATATGTAAATATGTCTTATGGACACTAAATAAAAATGGCAATCAACTAATTGGAATATTAATGTCACAAACAAAATAAACCATAATGTGAATTTCTATGATTGATACTTTATAAGAATGTTCCTGTTTTTCCAATTTTTTGGCCTTTGATATCACCTGTTGTTTCACTTGGATACTTCAAATTTAAGATTACTTTTCTTTATATTTAGTTTGGAGAACTAAATGTATAAAAAGTTACAAACTTGAAATAGGATTTAAATTGTGGTTTCAGGTAGTTTTTGGTGACACTCCCATCCTCTTCTTTTTAAACTTTAGGTTGTTACCAATTTGTATAACTATGATTTCCACAGCAGCAATAAATTTTTCCACAAGATAGTCAGTTATCTGAGAAAGTGAAAACAGCTACACTTTAAAAATTCATTTCTTTCTTTTTAAAAAAAAAATTTAAAAAAATTTAGTAGCAGTTCTTTCATTATTTATTAATATAAATGTGAACTCGCTTTGTCAGTAGAATTGAAACTTTCTTATGGTTGGAGAAAGGTTATATAGCATTGAACTAATCTTACAGTTAATATATTCATTATTTTATGAAAATATGATTTAGTTTAATGTTATTAATCTGTAGTGCTAATGTTGGACATCTTCCTGACCTTTTTGTTTCTTTACAGGCTCTCAAATGTGTAATTCTTTATTTGATTCTGGCTCCATATGACAATGAGCAATCAGATCTCTTACACAGAATTGGCCAGGAGAAAAATTTAAATGAAATTCCAAAATACAAGTAAGTTTGTGCATTAATTTGTCTTTTCTTTATTTTTGTGAAGATTTTTTTTTTTTCTTTATAGAATTTTTTTTATCATGAAATTTACTTTCTTTCTTTAGAGATCTGCACAACTTGTTCACAACATCAGAGCTTATCTACTGGAAGCAATTGTGTGCAGATTATGAGACAGAACTGAAGCAAGGTTCTAAGGGTTGCCCAGCTACACATGTGTTCAGTTCTAAACACCCAGGATCTTCAAAAAGATGGCAGGACCTCAAAAACAGGGTTGTAGAACATGTAAGTCTTTATTTACTTGTTGCATTTTAAATCAAATAATTTCACAATAGAACTGAGGAGATGCAGATATTCACCAATTCATAAAGAAGAGAACAGTTTTCTTTGTTATCCACATAAGCTGTGTTAAACTTTGTATTGTTGAACAATGGACAACTTGACTTTTTTTTTTTTTTTTCACATTCAGTGTCCTCATGTGATGTAAAGATTTCTATCTTTTTTAGATCAGCTGATCATTTGAGATCTCCCAACTGAAATAAGATAGATTTATAATGTAAAAGCTGAATTTACATCCTGAACAAACTTCTCACATTTTTCTATAATGGTAATTTGTATATAAGTCACCAGTACAATACATCAAAATTATGGAAAGTAATGTTTTGAGTTTGTTCCTGTGTAATGTTTTTTTGTTTTGTTTATCTTTTACAGAATATCCGTGTGATGGCCAAGTATTACACAAGAGTACGTATGTGTCGTATGGCTCAACTGTTAGATTTATCTGAAGATGTAAGTATTTTGGTATTTTTCTTACTCAATTTTCTAAACTACCCAAAAAACTAATTGCGAACTTGAAAGGATCACTACGAAACTAAGCGATATGTTATGTCTAAATTATTTAACCAAACCTGTTTGAATGAAAATATGCTGCCTAAATAAAGACAATTTAAAAGAAACATATATATAATTGGTGCTTTTATATTCAATAATTTGAGTAAATTTCTTCCTTCATTAAGAAATCCTTTGATGAAAGTATATTTTAAGACTATAAGGTTAGGAATACAAAACTTTATACTGGGTTGTACTTTTCTTTTTTTTTTTCGTTTTTAAACTCTGCTGTAAAAGATGCACTTTTATGAAATCTGGCAATACAATTGAAAAAAAAAAAGCTCTAGGTTATAAATTTTGTTTCATACATTGTCAAAATTTAAAGAAATTGATTGAAATTTATTATTTGTGCAGGAAACTGAAGAGTTTCTCTCCAATTTGGTCGTGAATAAAACTGTTCAAGCCAAGATGGATCGTCTAGATGGTATCATCAATTTCCGTCAACACAAGGATCCGAACAGCATTTTGAATGATTGGTCACACAATATTAGCACTTTGATGCAATTAGTGAACAAAACCAACCATCTTATCACCAAGGAAGAAATGGTGCATAAATTGCATTGAATGGTCAGCAGGTTGCTTGTTGCTACAGTTCTTTTCTCTTGCCACCATTTTATTGGTGTCCATTTTAGGTTCTTTTCTCTGCAAATTACATCCCATCATCAGTCTGACAAGTTTCTCAGCCCCTCCAACTCCCTTTAGTCTATCAAAGTCAAAATTGTGGTTGGCAACTTCGCTGAGCATAATTGCAAACAATTGAATGACCAACTGAATTTATAATAAATACATGTAAAGAAACTGGTTGATTTGTTTTCTTGGAATTTTCACTTTGGCAAAGTAAACCAATTTCAGTTATCTAAGAAGGCCTCTATTTTTTCTTTATATTTCTGCTCCCCAGCTGCTGAGTTAAGAACCTTGTTTAGTGTAAATATTTTCAGCTTTAAAAAAAAAAAAAAGTAGGAATAAATATCCATGTTTAAACTTGATCTTACAATGGCTGTCAAAGTAAATCTGGAAAAGAAATTTAGCAGACACAAATAGCAATTATATGACAACAGAATTTCATAAAGTTGTGAGATTAACACTTTAATATTTTTCTATGATCTTTGCAAGTAAAACATTCACTGAAAAATTAATCCATTTCTGTCTGAATTTTTTGAATAAAGAATTATCTACTGATTTATTCAAACTTATAATTAGAAGACTTCAGCTGTTGTACACTAGTCTTCTTGAGGTGCTGGTTGTGTTTAGTAATCCTTTGAGTATTTCAAATTGAACCATTTATTCTATCCATGAAGGTTAACTGGACTTATTCTGCTGTCCATGCTAAGGGATGTTGGATGTCTTGTGTTAATTTGTCCTTATCCTTTTACTATTTTGAACTATTCTCATCTTGTTTGATGCAGATGTTATAGACAGGGAAACATTGCATCTATAATAGCATTTATATCAACCAAGATAGGGAACAATAATTTGAAATAATAAAAGTATATTGATAATTGCTCATCTCAGAAATTAAATACTAAATTAATTTGTCCTTGTTTTACTGACCCAGAGATTGAACTTACACCCCGCCTACTGTAATATCCACAAGGCCATTGTTTGATAGGAAGATTGAGTAGTGAAACTTTGGAGCCTTAAACTTGATGTCTGTTCTTTCCTTTCCTGGTCAAAGACACCATTTTTTTACTGTCCAATTCCATTAGATTATTAGAGCCTAAAATTTACAGATTCTACTTCATTCTTCAATGTCATTCTCTGTTGTTTATTCTGGTTTAATAACAAGTAGAATTGGCATCACAAGAATAAGATCTACCCTAGTTTATACAATGGAATGAGAACAGCCTAAGCTTGTATATTGACTAAAGGATTCAGACTGAAAATGCAAGTACCCAAAAAAGACTGGAAGGCATGATGCTGAAAACATGACTAACAAACAAGATTAAGGCAGCAATTCAAAATCAATGTATAATTGAGAGTTAGGTTGAATAAGATAATTTAAAGAATCAGTTCATATGCAAGGCTCAAATTCCACCACCTGACTTCTCTGGGATTATGACCTAATGGATAAAAGCTATTGATTAAATATGCAGTTTATCTGTTACTGGTATTCTATTGTTAGTTCAGTGGAATGAATAGAAGTAGCATCATCACAAGGACAAATATTAACTAATACGAGACATATCCTAGCATGAACAGCAGAATGAGAAAATTGTATTCTAGTAGATTGAATAAAGGGTTCATTTAGAAAATCCAAGAACATTACTTGATATAACAGCCTGGAAAACTATCAACCAAAATTAGAAAAGCAGTTTAAATGTGTATAATTAATCCTTGTCAGATAGGTACAATTTTCATAGTGACATATTCCCTAAAAAAAAAAAAAAAAAATGAACATTTCAGCTTTATTCAGTGGATTTTATGGACATTAGTAAAATGTAGAAAAAGTGCAGGTAAGATAAGAGATTACACTCATTTTTAATGTTTTCTTTCAGGAGAGAACAATGTTGGTTTTGAAATTTTTTGTATTTGAATGTTTATTCGTGCAAAATCTTATTTCAGCTTACTTGGCTGGTAAGAATATCTTTTGCAACTTATATTTCATTTAAAATGAAACAAGATGAGCCATGTACAAGTTCATTTTAAAATAAAAACTCAAACGAAAATAGTGTTAGATCAGGAACCAAGTAAAATATTAAGTAGACTAAAGTAAGTTTTATAAAACAAGGTTTTTTTTTTTTTTTTTAAGGTTGCTATGTTGCAAAAGTTAAACTTGAACAAAGAACTTAGACAAAGGTGCTTGATATTTTTGAGTTTGATCTTCAGTGAGTGCTCCACTCATACAAATTTTTGTCAAATAAACTGCATAAATATTTACATGGATTGAATACAGTGGACACATAGCATGTGTGATAAGTTAATCTCATTGGCTACTATTAAAACCTGACCCTATATTCATAAAGTATATATGTTTGAATAGTTAACTAGTGGGGGGAAAAAAATTGCTTGCTGATCTTGGTTTGGTAACTGACCCCCCCAAAACAATATATGCACTCACTCAACTTTAACATTGAACAAGTAGTGTCATATTTAGATGTAAGTGGGGGATGAGATTGGCACTGACTTCTCTTTCTCTGGCTTGTTTCCTGAACAATTGATATCTGACCTCGTCTGCCACACCAATAGCAGTGTGAATCTGTGTGCTCCCTGATTTTCCTTGTTCCTTTCATCAGCTTAAGCAATCTCAATTGGGGCCATTGCATTCATGGTAGATAATGCTGTTATGCAGGAGATATGATTGAATCCTTTCACAGCTGCTAGAACTGGTCCCTGTCTAGGATCATCATCCTTCATAATCACTCAAGCTGGGGCCTTCAAATTGTCTAAAAGAACACCCATTCTAGAGAATGCATACAGAAGTTGCTTCATGTCCTGGTAGCCCAGCCACAAAAGCACATGCCAAACCATGCCCTGGTATCCACTCAAAGAGTACTGCCAGGTACACATCCTTTGTTTCACCTGGATGTAAATTCTGTGATATATACTGCTTGTATGCAGTGAAGGTGGTGAACAAGCCTTCCTTTATTCAGGTTGCATTGATATTATCCTCATTTTTCTTGATCTCCAAAAAGTTGAAAAGGTAGAGCCAGTTTTTCATCAAACTCTAGGATTAATTTGAGGTCAAACTTGTCATTGGACATTTTGCCAAAATAGCTTGTTGGCATTCAACCTTTATATCAACCAGTTCTTCTATATGAATCTACTCTTGAACAAGTTAACAATAAAAATGTAGGTGACACTTTCACCAGAAAAACATCTTGCAGGGAATGTAGCTACTTCCAACACTGATTCTCCCAGCTCATGAAACTGCTATCACAATTTTACCCTTCTTTTTTTCTTTTCTTTGGCCAATATGTACACAATTCGGTGCCTTCTACATCTCAGATTAGTCTGCTATTTGGAAAGATTACTAGGGGTTAACTGATTATAAATGTTTCATGATCTCCAAGCTATTAGTTGAGCATTAAACAAATAGACTAAATATTCATCTTGCCAAATATCATGTAACTAGGATAATTAAAAAAAAAAAATTTTGTTTTTGGCAAAGAAGTTCAAAGACTTCTAAGATAAAATCCACTTTTAAATCAAAATAGGTACAATTTATTTTTTATCTTTACCTAATAGTTAAAAAAATAAATGTGAAGAATATAAGTTATAAAATCTATACAGCTCAAACCTTCCAAATTTAAAAATCATACATAAAAATGATTTCTCATGTGTTTCCCATTCAGGTCCCAAAACAGCTTAAATGTAAAGTTTAATCAGCATATAAGTAGGCAATTCTCTGAATTTTGAATTTTACAGTTGAAAAAAAAAATGCAGGTAATTTAAGGAAAGCTGAAGTTTTTTAAAATTTGATAAATGTTTTTATAAACTCAATTCATTAATACTTAACTAGTTTCTTCTGCTAATGGAATTTTTAAAAGACGTAACATAATTGAACAACAAAAAATTGAAATCTGTGTAATAACCTGATGCCAATTTTTAAAAAAATTTTTTTTTTTTTAAATAATAATATATGGAGTTAGTTGTATTTTTGTTTTTATTTGGATCATGCACCATCCAACAATATACTTTGCAAGTACATACAGGAAAAGAGAATTTTCAGTTGATGCAGATTACTCCATCTCAGAATATTGGTTAACTACTAATAATGAAAATCTATATTAAAACAAACTTATTCAAAAACAAACAAAAAGAAAAAGAAAAAACTTCCCTCTCTTTGCCATAATTCTGTTTTTCTTATTCTGGTTCATTTGTTTTCTTTATCCTGAGACTGAATGAATCAAGACTCAAGAACTTTTCTCATTTCCTTTTTCACACTGAAGAGAAATTTTACATTAAAATGGAAGAAAAAAAAAGTGTTTTGCCTTTCACTGTTCTTGTACATTGCAACATTGACTATTTGAGTTTTGGATGAGTGTGAGGGGAAGAGAGAGAAAGAGAAGATAACATTGTCGTACTATTCAACACAACCAGACAGAGAAGATTGGCTGATTTCAAAGGAAACTGGTTTCTTTTCTGCTCAGAATGACCCTTGTGGATCCTAGCACCAGGCCAGAATAGGGGGGGGAGAGAAAAAATGGCATAAAAGAGTGGGGGAAAAATAAATAAATTTTGTGTTTCTACTTGAAAAAAAGATCTTTTTTCATTTGTAATCATATAGATTTGAACTGGTTTTTTTAATTCTTGTTGCTATCATGTTCAAGTCAGGCTGACAAAGGCAGCCAAGAAAAGGACAGAAAATTATTAGGCTCCCTCTGTCTCTCCTCATTTTTCCCCCTCTAAATTTTTACTTTTTCTTTGTTTTTTTTTTAAGATAAATATTTCATAAATATTTTTCTTAATTTCAAAAAGAAAATCTTTCCTTAAGAGCATAAAACAAAATACATAACTCAGTTTGTTTGTACTTTTTTTGACTTCTTTTTTTCTCTCTATTTGCTGCCATCAATGTGTGGTACAGACGTTTCAAAGTGGGACGTAGATAGTATTATTGGATACTTTTTCAAGAACAAAATTCAACGGGTTTAGTTAAAACAGAATATATGCAACATGAATGCACATTTTCTGCATATTGTCCATAATGCAATGCTTTTGGGCAATGTGCAGTCAGTGCAGTGGTGCAGAATGTCAAGTGGCAAGCCCCAGGCTCCAAAAACCATAACACCCTTCCTAATGGCAGGGTGATGGATTTGCTCATGGACAAGGGCATCATCCCTGAAGAACCAACTCAAGAAGAAAAATGTCAATCTGTTTAAATATGTTGTTTTTTTTAATTTTTATTTTAGGAGGGGGATGTGTAGGTTTATTCTCATTTCCTTATGTGTGGTTTGTGGGGTGTTGAAGTTTGCTGTCTTCATTCCCATGATGCTGTAGTACGGAGAAAGAGAATATGGTGCAGAAGGCTCATTGTTAAGACCCTGTTGACAGTCCCTGTGTTTCATAATATTGGTCTATAACGTTGCACACATAACCAGCCACGTCAACCTCCTCTTCTTCAAATCGATGAATGAACGGGTGATCCTGAATGACAGCAAAACCATAAACACTAATTAATCACAAGAGCAGTACATCAAAAATAAAAAATCGAATAAAAAAGGAAGAAAAGTGTGGGCTAATTTTTGCTTCAGTAAGATTATATCCTCAAAGTTACCTTATTTAAAAATACAGTGTGGCAGAAATACCTCTCACATAATGGCAAGACATTAGTTAAATGAAGATACCATTGCTACTAATGTCTTACCATTATGTGGAAGGTATTTCTTCCACACCCTGTAAAAGGCTTTTGACAACATTCTCATTTTCTCAATCAGAAAATAAATATTTTATTTAATTATACTTAAATATTAAATGCGATAATTAATACATTTTCAATCTAACAACATAATATTATCCTGTTAATTTTCCAAGGATCTTACCTTGTGAAATATTTCTAATAGATTCCAAACTGTCCATGTCATATAATTTCATTTTATAACTAAAATATTCTTGAGAAATTTGAAATTGTGTTGAATAGTTTAATATTAACAAGCATCTGTTTCATAAATTATGATTTGCCATGTTGAATAACATTAAAGCATATCTCATGAAATACTATTTTAGTTTCATTTAGGTCATTTTTAAATATTACTTTATTTATTAATCAAAAGTTGTTGTTTTTCCAGATCTTTAAAAGATCACTATTAATTTTGAAAGTAAAAGACAATAAACTTAAGTTATTTTTTAAATTTAACAATGGATAATTATTTTTAAGTGTAGACAAAAAGAATCCTTTTTCATAAATTAGGCTTACATTGTTTTTTTAATTATTGAAGTGACTGAAGCCAAGATGCCAGGTCATGACCGATAACATTGCAGATTCTTCTCTGTATTTAATCAAGAATCTCTAAATATATAGCAGATGTAGTAGCAATATTCAAAGCAAGGATGAATGGTAGACTTATAAATATGTAAGATAGATTTTGTCAAGAAAAATTGTCTAGCACAACATAGTGAATCAACTTTCTTTGTCTATGGTTTTTAAAATATGTTTTAAATTGTTTGATTTTATTTTGATTCAAAATTAATAAAAGAAATAAAACCAGAAAAAAATAGAATTATCAAGAGAAATTTCTTTATTCAGGAAATAATGCCTGATGAGAATCATATCTGAAGTACCTGTATAAGTAAGAAGCTATCAGTTATTTGGAAAGAGAGAAAGTTGAATGAATCCCAAGTAAAGCAAACCTTTATATACAATGATCTAAGATTTGGAAGGTATGGAACAGAATATGAATAAATTATTAGGATCTTTAGATAAAGAAAGAAATAATTCATAATAAACAAGAGAAAGTGTAGTGATATTAATGTCAGCAGATATCTGAAAGGTGTTACAGAAATTGTTTTGACAATTATTATCTTGGCAAAGAAGGTCAACTTAATGGAGTGAACTTCCCAAGAACCAGGTCAAATGATCCTGAAAAAAATGGCCACTGATTGAAGCCAGACCCTGAGTTCTTGATGAATGACTTTTCTTTATTCAGAGCTGACAGGACAAAGAATGCTGGTTTCTATAAGACAGTGCTTCCTAACAGCAAAAGACAGAGAGGGACAAGAGACTGTTTGCCACAACACGAAAAGGAAGAGACATCAGTTAGACTGTTCATAACCTCAACCCACCTCACCTCTGCCTCGCTTGCCTACAGCAGAAGGTTACAACTGAATAAAATGTACTTTCTGCTACAATCATCTCATGGTTTTATTTTGTGAATAACAATTTGGCCAAAGAGTTTTTATTAAGCCCAAAGCATTTGACTGGAAAAATCTGAACCTGGTGTCTGGTTTGAGTTGCAACACTACACAAAAAAAAATAACTTCAAAACATAAATAAAGCAGCATAAGCAGTCATTATTTTTTTAACAAAGCAAGAAAACAGACTTACCAGCAGTTTCCCATATTTTGGTCTTCTTCTTTCATCTTTTATTAAACTGGGATAAAAAAGAAAAGAAAAAAAGATGAATGAATAAAAAGTGTTGTTGTTACTGTAGTAGAAAATGTAAGCATTTCTGAAAACATGTTTGAACCATGCACTTAAAAGTTGAAGTCCCTTATATTGTGATAAAAATAATTTACAATATCAATGAAAAATGGAAGGTTCCTTCAAACATAGTGAAATTTTAAGTGATTTTAAATTTTTCAGTATATAAATATTAAAATAAATAAGCAACCTATGTTCATGTTGTAAAACCAATTTACTTTCTCTCATTTCTTCTTTCATTCCTTATGTCTGTTGCACTTATGTTTGATACTTCTATCTCACACAATTTATTTTTTGGAAATGCTAATTTTGCAATTCTGAAATTACTGAATTCAAAATGTGATACTCAAATATAAAAAAAAATGAGGACTTCCATCATAAACATTTGTGAATATTTAATTTTGCAAATAGAAAAATATTTTAAAGTTTATTATTATAGAAATAAGACATTTAAAGCAATAAACACAAAGCAATAAACACAAAGCAGTTGGAAATATATATGTATATTAATAAATGTATATTTTGTAATTGGTTATTTACTTACCATGTATACAGGAAACTTTTAAATTCATCTGAATACTTGGAATCATATGTTCGAAGACTCGGTGGTGGTCCCTGAACAACTTGAGTCAGCTGGTCAAATACACTGTCCCACTTAGGATATGGGAAACGGCCAGTAGATAATTCCATCTGTAAAGAAGATAATGATAATACTGATATACATATAATTATTGATTCTTAAAAGTGTTTTAATAAAAAGGTGTTTGCTTTACTTGGATTAATTCTTTTAGATTTGTTAGAATAAAACTGAACCTTCAGTGTCCCTGCATATAATTAAGAGAACCAGCTGTGGCACAGGGCTACATTCCTAAAGTGAAAGAAAGCCTCTTAGAATAGCTTTTAGTCTATTTTGTTGATAGCTATACTTCAGTAAATGGCATGCTGAGTTGTTTCTATGAAGTTGTGAGTTAAATTCTATGGAAAATTGAATTTTCCTCTCAGCTAATTCTTTTATGCACATTTCCCAATGTTTAATACTCAGTTAAATGATAAACCAGCAGATAATAATATTGCTTTGTGGTTTTATAAATAAAATCCAAATTGCAGAGACGATAAAATCATCACCTACCAATGTTATTCCAAGACTCCAGACATCAGATCGGACATCATATCCTCGACTTGATGCCCGTGGATCAATTCTTTCAGGCTACACAAATACAAAGGAAAAAAGTTTTAAAATATCATATATAACATATAAATTCTTTTTCTTAGAAACTTTAATTGCAAACAAAAGTTTATATTTTGTATAAAACTTATTTTTTTATAGTTTACCAATTGTCTTGTGATATTATGTTAAGATGAATAAGAATTTGGATATTATCTGTGATACTTGGTTTTTAACTTGAAAATTGAATAAATATTGTTAAAAACTATTTGTACTTATGTGGGTGGTTGAGAGTAAATATACTTCATGGCTTTCAATTAAACACTGTATTAAGAAGTATAATTTTGCATGAAGGAAGCTCAAGAGAGAAAAACAGATCAACTGAACTTACTGCCATGTAAGGTCGACAGCCAGCATCACGACTCTTAGCAATTGAATCAACCAATTGGCCACTGATACCGAAATCACACAATTTGATGTTGCCCTTTCTGTCCAGCAGAATATTTGAAGGTTTTACATCTGAAAGAAAATGTTTTGAATTATTACTACTTTTTTTTTTCTAGGATGATAGGTAATAGAAAGGAATATTACACAAATTTAGTTGTGAGGAGATTGTCTTTTATTTATCTTTATATTTGAGAGTTCATATTGTCAATCATTTTTCAAAGGTAGAGAATATTTGTCAACCATCTATTAGATTATCAAGTGTGTTCTAACAGTTCATCAATTCATATTTTGTTGTAAAGAAAATCATGTGAAGAGGCTGATGATTTCATAGGTTGAAAGTTAAGAAATACTTTCAAATGACAAAATATAAAAGAAGGGATAAATAAGCAATTGAAGAGTGTGTAGATATTGAAACAATAACAGTGAACACAAATTTACTCAACTCACCTCTGTGGATAATTTTTAATTTTTCTTTTAAGTAATTCAATGCTTTGAGTGTCTGAAAGACAAAGGAGTGTTTGTAAAAAAGTGAAAAGCTGTTGATAAAGAAGAAATCTATAATTTGCATTTCTACAAAAGTAAAGATGTTTTTCAAACTAGTCCATCTTTTTCTGCTTTCATTTTAAAGTCAATAATATTAACTATATATAAAGCTGTTGCATTTTCTTGAGGTGTCTTTTGTATATAAAGCAAATACAGTTCAAAGCATAAATTTTTCCAATGCAACATGGAAACCATTTTTTGTTGTAATCAGCATTTTTGTCAGTGAAAATATTTTTGTTAATGTTATTGCTTACTATAATTCAGAATTGTATTTTATGTTTTAAAGATTAAATTGCATCAAATAAGAAAAAATGAAATGAACTTTTAGTTCAAAAATTAAAATTGCAAATAGGAAACAGTAAATGAATATAAATGGAGGAATTTTAGAGAAATACTTACCGCTACAGCTACCTTTCCTAAAATTTCCTCTGGCATCATACTCAACATAATATTATAAATGAATTTATAAAATTTGTCTAGTGAAATATCCATGATTTCCATACAAATCCAACAGTCACCCTGAAAAATAAAGAGTAAAAAAAATATCAAATCAAAGTTTGCTTTCTAGTTAGTAAATTTTCATTTTCTATGTCCACCTTATTTCTTACAATTTCAGAATGTAAAAACCAGCAATGAGGCAAGAATTTAGCTTTTTTTTATCTAATCAATGTTGAAATGTTACCATACTGAGAAAAAGTATTTTATATCTTCAGATTTTAGCCAGGCTGTCTTGATCATGTATTATATCAAATAACAACTGTACTGTACAATATTCATTACAATTTAATTTCATATTTTTTGTCACTATTTAAATAAATATATTGCCCATGTATGGTATCAAAATAACAGTAGCATTCCTTTGCCTATTTTCACTTAAATGACATTCTCTTCTAAACTGGATTCTTGTACTCAGCATTTTGAGTCCTGTTAGCAAGTATATGGGTCTATCGAATGTCCTCACTTTCTTCTGATTGTTTTTTTTATTCTCCTCGCCTCTGAAGAGGATCATACTTAAGATATTTTTTCTGAGGCATCTATTTTATATATATTGTTTTCATAGAATGGATTAACTTGAAGTAGTCATTAGTTCTGTGCTAAACCTTAAACCGAAGAATCTTAAATGGTCACGATAAGATAGGTCCTGATAAAACTTTAATTCTGGGTTGAAAATAAGCCTCATTAAAACAAAATCAATAGAGATTTAGAATAAGATTGAAAAATAAACCTGTTATGAAAAATTTAAGTTAATAAATTTTTCCAGTTTAAAATAAATTTGAACAAAATAACACATGTTCAAGGAATATTTAAGTCTATTAAGGTTACAATAAATCCATAATCAATTAATGTTTTCATTGGAGATGAACTATCACATATCAGAACATATAACTGTTGACTTGAAGTAAGCCATAAGTTAAGCCTTAGGTCAGTGCTGTCTGTCTTCAATCAATTTTCCTGCTACCTTTTTCTTTTTTTTTTTTACACTTAATTGAAAACAACAAATTTATCATCATCAATTTCAGTTTTCCATGTTCCAAACTCATTTATTAATTTAACATTCATTGATCTAAAGCATTTCTCCTTATTTTCTCTTTTTTTTAAAATAACAAATCAATTAAAATATTGAAAAAATCTCAATAAAACCTTTAACATTTTTTTAAACAGAATGTAGCACTAAAATATAAGTTACTACAAATATTTGATTATGTGTATGCAAATAAAATATACAAAAATGTTTTTATGCTTAATATTGTTTTAATGGATAAAAAGTGTAAATTTGCCTATATAAGAAATAAGTACCTATTGTTTTTCATGGAAAAATATCTTTAATTTTAAAACAAATAAGTAATATATTAAATAAAGTGATTTGTTGACAACATTTAATTAAAAATAAATAAATGATAGGTTTATTAATGTTTAGAATGTAAATAAATAGAAGCCTTTTTAATGTTTTATTAAAAGTTTACCTTTTTTGTATTTGTCTAAAATAAATAATTTATTAATAATAAAAAAAAATTCTTGTATTAAATAAAAAGTATAGAATATTCTACAATCCATTCATTAACTGTGCCATTGTTTATTTAAAAAATAATTGAATAAAATTGGGTTTAAACTAGATAATGCTAAATATCAGTACATTTTTTGCTAGATTTTCTAATGCTGCTACATGTTTTAATTTACAAATATCTTTGCTTATATAGAGTACAGAAATAAATTGTTTATGAAAACGTTTTTTGAGACATGCTGAATCAGAATATATATTGTTTTAAGTAGGTACCGCCACTAATTTGCTAAAAAAGAGCAAACCATGATGAAAAAATACCCTAAACTTGATAAAAACTAAGTTTTATCATCAAAATCTTTGTTATTATTAAGAGGAAAGATCAAAGTATTTTTGATTATTTAATTATTTTTTTATCCTTTTTAGAACGTGAAAATTTTGGTTACAAATCTTGTATTTTTTGTGTCAGAGGATGGACTATAAATTACCATAGGAAATTTTAGTGTCTTTTTTGTGGTGAAAAACATTGATTTGGACATTCTTGTAAGAATCAAATAATTGTTGGATTTTAATGAAATTTTCAGGACTTATTCACAAATGAATGAAAATATTTTAGAAAAGTTTTTTTTTTATAGTAAATCTTGGTAAATATATATATTTTTTATATCTGTTACCACCTCTACTTATTTAATTTTAAAAAATTTTGTGAAATTAAATTTGTAAAACTTAATTTCTATATTAATTAAAAGCAGAATTCCTTGGAGAATTTAAATCATCAATTTCTTTTTGCCCCTAGTTACTGAAAATCTACTCTAAATTGTAAAATAAAAATTCAATAAAACTAAGACATTAATTAGAGAAGATTTAATTGCTTTTATGAATAAGATATATTAAGGACATTATTGTCCTAAGAAAATTTTTTTTTGATAAATAATGAATTTTTCAAGAATTGTTTTAATTTTTTCAATTTTTTATTAAAGTTTTAAATCTATTAAAATTCTGTATTAATTTGTAACAGGTGATATTGTTAATTAGTAAAAATTACATTTACTACTCATAAATCGAATAGCATATCATAATTTAGTGAATTTTGAATTTTTTTTTGTAGATGTATAAATGTGCTGATTTTTGTAAATAATGCATACAGGGCATTATCAAAAAATAAGAGTGATAACTATAGTAAGTTTGAAGCTCAAGTACCTAAAATTCAATGAAACAGATTAGAGAATATTTTCCTAAATTTTTAAAATTACAGAGTAGTTAAAAATTATACAAAAAAAATGAACGGTACTCACATTATATTCTTTAAGTAAATTTTTCAGATATGACTAAAAAGACATTAGATAAACTTCTATGGTATAAAATGACAATTGGAAAAAAAATCTTAGATTTTGCCGACACGTTTCGTCTTCCAACTTTTTCAAGGCAAAAATGAAATCAAAATGTTTTTGTTGTTATAGTTACATTAATAATTTAAAAAGATAGATGCTTCTGTCTATGCCTATTTTCTGGTTAATGTAAATTACCTTTATAGTAAGGGATTTTTTCCCCCCCCCATGTCGACAATATAGTTAAATTCCCAGATCAATTCTGTGGACAAGACAAATTGGTATAAAATGATAATTGGAAAAAAAAAGAAAAATCATTTCATTTTTGCCTTGAAAAAGCCGGAAGACGAAATGCGTCGGCAAAATCTAAGATTTTTTTCCAGTTGTCATTTTATACCAATCTGTCTTGTCCACAGAATTGATCTGGGAATTTAACTATAAACTTCTATCCATCATTGAAGCTGTCGACCTGTCAACACCTAAAATAAACAGCTACCGCCATGTTAAAAAATGCATTTCTGTGATATTTTAAACCTAAAGTTAAGTAATATTTGTTTCAAATCAGATTAATTAAACTTTAAATCAACTAATATTCCTCAAATAAAGTTTCAGAAATTATATTTTACTTTTGAAAGTTTTTTTTTAATAGAGATAATTACATTGTGATGATAGATGGTTAAAAATGAAACTAAAATCAGCAATGGTTAGTGAGTTGAAGAAATGAAAACTCCTTCCAGTCAATTTAAATTAGTTTTGAAATACAGCGTAGTATTTTGCTTATTGGAAATATTAAATTTAATGTATTAGCTTGAAATTAAAACTAAAATAAAAGCTTCAAGAAAGATTTTTGATTTTTTTAAAATTCATTTTAGTTATTGCAAATCTGTGGAGGTACCTAGTTTTAAAGGTCTAAATATTGTTTACAGATCACTACAGATATAACTAGTAATCAGGAGCCCATACAATCAATTACACAGATCAAAGTAAAAATAAAAAAGAAATATTATTATTAATAAATAATGCCATTCTTTTTTGATTAACTTTAGTCATTTGAGGTGCTTGCATTTGAAATCAAAATTATTCTAATATTCAAAATATATTTCGATTTTTTGTAATTTTGAAAAACTTTGAACGTCGTGAATTACTTCCCTTGAATCTTCGAGTGGCCATGAAGACGCCTAAGTAAACGAAACTCCCTAATAATATTAGAAGTTTTGCCCCGATTTTTTTTCTTCATTTTCACAATAGTATTTAAGCATTCTTAAATGAGAGAAAATTGCTATTTCTTACTAAGGTTAATCATTTTCTTTATTCAAACAATAGCCTCCTATAACTATAGTAAGTTTGAAGCTGAATGTGGTAAAAACAATAAAAATTAGTCTAACCCACATCTAGCACTAGTTTAATTAACTGAGATATTAATTTTTTAAAAGTATTTTTGCTATTATCATTTATTGTGGCTGTTGTGCAAATCATGTGGTCAGAAAGAGATTAGGTTATACAATCACATGCACAAATAGATCCTTCCTTCTATCTGTGCACAATGGATCCAATCAAAATAGAATGCAAGTTGAAGGCTATAATTAAAGCATTGCTTGGCTCATCATTCACCTGAGTAAATTATTTTCATTTCAGCTTTGTTATAGTAACAGTCAATCATATATTAATAATAAATATACATTTTTTTCCTTACCAGTAGCACTATTTTATTAACACCAGCACCATGGCGTACAATACTCTAATATAGAACGCCATGACCATCACTCAATGTGTGATATTATATAATTTTCTTTTTGCTTGAGACCATCATTCTTTCATGTTAAAAGATGTTCGACATTAATTAGATAACTTTTTAATGTGATCTGCTTACAATTCTACTTATATATTTTACTGACCCAATCTGAAAAGACTATTATCAATAAATTAATGTTGTCTTATTTTAATAGAACAAAAGATATTCAGAGGATATTTCAATCAAAAAGATGTGCTCCTGAAAGTTGAATTATGTTGTCATATCATTTAAAAAAGAAAAAAAAAAAGAAAAAAAGTCAAGTTACCTCTTTGAAAAGAGCTCCATAAAACTGAACAATATAGGGACAATCATTACTGCGCATCACAACATCCAAATCCATCAGAAGCTGCTTCTGATCTTTCTCATCAACCGTGGATCGAATTCTCTGTTAACAAAAAAGAAAAAAAAATCTTACTCCCTTTATTTTCAAGTGTCTATTTCTTTAGTAATATGGATAAACAAATGTGCTTAAAAAATTCTCATTGCAAGGAAGATATTTCTGTTAAATATTTTTATTTAGTCTTAAGATGTTGCATAACCAATCAATTTATCTAAAAAGAAACAAGGAAACTTCATATACTACAATACTTTGATTTTTTGATTATTGGCCAAACATATTTTCTAAAAACATCCTTTTGAATAACAGAAGACAATTTAAATTTTACTTACGAATTTTAGATTCATTAAGAATTTACCATGATTTCAAATATAATTTTGCAATTTTAAAAAAATATTTAAACATTTATCCAAATGAATAGTATCAAGCTACATTTTGTAAACAAAAATAAAAATATATAATACACAAGAATAGCAGAAAAATTTAAATAAGAAGAAAGTACATGATACATATTAAAACTAAAGTATTTAAATATTTTTAAAGAAAAAAAAAAAAAAAAAAAAAAAAACTAGCATGAAGATAGGTTTCATTTCTGGACTGAGTATCAAATATTGAGAAACAAAGGTGATAATTTGATAGTTACTTTGACTGCCATGATAGTTTCACTTTGGGTGTGCTTCATCTTATTAACTGTGCCATAGTTACCCTGACCAATTAGACCAAGGTCCTTCAAATCTTCGGCTGTGAATTTATAAGTCTACAAACAAAAACAGTATTATTAGAGTTAGTTGTTCCAAGATTACAAAAATCCTTTATTCTATAGAGTTAAATAAAATATGAATTTTGATGCTAAAGAGATTTTTTTTTATTTTACCTGTTTGTTAATTTGAAGTTTCCCAGCAGATGACATTCCATAGGAGCGGAGACGTTCACTGAGAGAGAAACAAACAAAAGAAGTAATGCTTTAAGTAAATATCAGCAAATGATACCCATACAGTCAATAGACAGACAAGTGGCCATAATGTATAAGTTTAGATTTTAAATACTTTAAGGAAAATAAATTACTATGCACATATCAATGATTACTGAAAAATGTAACAAGACCTTATTAGTATTATTTAATAATTTGTTTTTCTTTCTGTATATTTTCTGATACTCAAAATCACTGGTCATGGTTAAGCCTGCATAACCATTTTTGCAACAAACTGCAGTTAGTGAAAAGTAATACTTACTTTTCTGAATATAAAAAAGAAATATCTAAAATAAACTTACACAAAATTTATACATTTTAATTATATTCCCAAGAGAAGAAGAAAAAGAAGACAGGTTACAATGACAATGGTTAAAGTAATCAATATCAATATGAGAAATACTGAAAAAGTTCTTGGCCCAAACCATTTCCCAAAATCTGACCAAATATCGGAATTTAGTGGAGAAGAGCTTTTTGGTTGGGCTAAAAATTTTTCAGCATCTTCTTATGAACCTAGACATCTATATTTACATTTTAAGTAACAAGAAACTTGTAATCATTTAATGTGTGTATAGTAATTTCATTAAACAATTATAAATTAACTATTAATTTTATTTTTTCCTCTTAATATCAGTTGCTTTTTTATTAACTGTCATTCTATAGCTGTCAGCAGCACAGATCAGAAATAAAAAAATAGGCATCTGATGCAGAAGTTCAAATCTATCCATACAGCTTTCATTTTTGATTTCCCCAAACTCTGAAACTCCTGATTTGTTGCTATTTTTAATGTTTACATACACTCAGTTTTAGTAGCAATATCTTGAATTTATTCTAATATTGCTACTAATACTAATTTAATGTAATTTTAGCACGTGCCATTGTTAGTAATAATAACAGTAAAAATAAGCTATGTTACATTTTATTTAATTTATTTGAATCTCAAAGTCAGTCTGTATATGTTAAGTTTGATTTTATAAATGTTTGTTCTTGAAAAATAAAAATCACTAAAATGATAAATAGAACAGTTTTTTATTAAACGATTGTCATAATAAAGTGTAAAGTTTTTACAATACAAACAAGTTTCTTTGCTATCATGAAACTAAATAAATACTACTAATTCTTATATTTAATGAGAATGATAAACAATGACAGTTTAATATTTTACTAACATTTGTGTCCTGTGTCCAAGATCTCCTAAAGTTGCTTTACGGCCATTGTTGATGTGACTAAAATCAAGTCGTAACTTTTGACGAATTTCTCCTGCAATAAAAAAGAACATAAGAAATAAAATAATGTTCCTTAACAATTAAGATACTCCAATTTTTTTTTTTTTTGAATCAAATTTAAAATATGACTATAAATAAAGATAAGTCAAGACTGTCATTAGGTGGTCACCAGGACCAAATTGTAAATCCCTTACCATAAGTACACAGGGGAAAATAAAAACTAGATTGTTTTTTAAAACTGTTCACTGGTTTTAAATTTTGTTTTAAATTGTGTTTTCAAAATAATTTTAAACAAGACAATAATAATGTTATATTTAACTTTGTTCTTGTAACAATTTTGCATCTGTACATTTATATAATAAATAAACTTTTCATTTCTTTTTTTTTAAATACACACCCAAAATTCCACTGCTTTTAAACAATATTGATATAGGACAGGTTTCTCGCTTGCAAAAGCTGTTTTAAATAAATTTGATTTTTGTTACTCATGAATACAAGGCTCTGAAATGATAACAGCTATCAAGTGACACTTGTTACACATGTATAGCCGACTATCATGAGTCAGTAGGAAATATAGTAATCCAACATTACAGGTAGTCTAACAAATGTAATCATACTTATTATAAAACGCAGATTGTGTGTGTGTGTGTGTGTGTGTGTGTGTGTGTGTGTCTGTACATTTAGATATTGGATTGGATTTCCTACATTTTTCAACTGATTTCAACAAAACTTCACAGGACAGCGTAAAATTACCTTGCGGTGGCTCTGACAGCGCCAAAAATTGGAAAAACACAATTGTTTTTGCACGAAATCAATTTGAAAACACGATAAAACATGATTCTGTCGACAGAATGAAAGGGGGACAACTCCTATCGAGTTATACTTATTATAAAACCCAGGTTGGTTGTTTGTTGTGTGTGTTCGTTTATATATGGGATCGGATTTCCTACATTTTTCAACCGATTTCAACAAAACTTCACTTTTTTTGGCAAGTAGTGTTTCTTATTGTCTTGCACACTTTTTTCTTTATTTTTACATTCAGAATGCTTTAAAAATTTCATTTACAAGACAATTGTTTATAATAAAATTCTGTTCAATTGGTAGACTCATAACGATTGAAAAAATGTTTTTGTTTGAGTTTGGGTTTGACCAATTCGTAAAAAAAAAAAAAAAACTAATTAAGACATGCATGTCCGTCAATAACCTTTGTCAATTTCATTTTTCAGTCTTTATGATGGTCGATACTTGATCTATCTCTTACTGTTACATCCCCGGGCAACCATGGGCTCTACTGCTAGTCATACATAATGTAAAATTATTTCATGGATTAATGGTGAAAAGAGTTCTTTGACATAGAAAAAGCCAATGATACCATATGGAAACATGGCATCATACAAGATCTAAACAAAATGAGTCTCAAAGGAAGAAAGGCCAATCTTTAATAGCTTTGTAACAGAATGTGTTTTCAATGTCTAAGTTGGCACTAACCTTTCTGATTTATTGACTAAGAAATGGGTGTACCAAAATGGAATATCTTATCAGTTACCATTTTTAATATTAAAATAAATAACTGAAATCAGAAATTGATTGTTCATTGTATGTCATTGAGTTCTTGATTTGCTATAGATTGAAAAATATCCACATAATCGAGCACCAACTCCGACAATGTCTAAATAAAGTTGATAAATGGGCTACAGAAAATGGATTCAGATTATCTAAAAGAAAAACTCAGAGTGTACATTTGTGTCAACTCTAAAATCTGCACCACAATCCTGACTTGAAACTTTATGGTTCTGATATTCCTGTAGTGGCCCAATATAAATTGTTGAGCATTATTTTTGATAGAAAGTTATCTTTTATACATTAAATATCTCCAAGCTAAATGTAATAAAGAATCCCAAATACTCAAAAGTGGTTGTTCACATAGACTGGAATGCTGATTATCTCAATCACTAGTTAGGTCCAAACTGAACTATGGTTGTTTCATTTATGGTGCTGCAAGGAAGTCATACATGAAAGAGTTTGATATGATTTATCATCAGGGACAATGACTCATCCTAGGAGCTTTAGAACTTCTCCAGTGGAAAGCTTGTACACCACAACCCACAAAATGCCTCTGACACTAAGACGGAAGAAATTAGCCCTACAATATACCAAACTACATCCTAGACCAAATAACCCTGCATTCAACAATGTTTCTCAACCACAACATAAAGATCTATTCAACCAAAAAAATAGCACCAAACCTCTTGGTTTTTACATGAAAAACATTATTAATGAATCATGAATAGACACTACTCTAACCCTTGAATCTACTATGAAAAACCCACTAACAAAACATCTAACAGTTTCCTACCAGTTCATCTACCATTTTAGAAGAAAGTGATAATACTTTAGAGGAGCACTGAAACTATAAGCATATATATACTGATGGGTAAAAAAAAAAACATTGGTAAAATTGGATATTCAGTCATTCTTGATGAAATAACAATAAAAAAAATACCTACTTAACAAATTCACTATTTTAGTGCTGAAGCTATAGCCATAGATTTAGAAATCATAACAGACAACAAACTAGACAACTTCATAGTTTTCTCAGATTTACTATCCATACTTACCTGAGAAATAAAAACACAAAAAATTCCTTCATAGTTAAATAACTAAACAGGATCAATTTCATTTGCAAGTTTATCTAGCCATATCAGCATCCATAGAAATGAAAAAGCTGACATGGTAGCAAAGGAATCCCTAAAAATGAACATTTCCAAATTTGAAAATCTATACAAACCTCAAAGCAACTAACAACTCATATATTCTAAACAAGTGGCAAGAGTTATGGAATGACCACCCAAACAAACTTTACAAAATTAAACCCATTCTAAGAGATGGTTTCAGACTTTCTCAGAAGGAAGAAGACATCCTATCAAGAATCAGAATGGGACACACCTACATTACTAATTCATTTCTCTCAAAAAAAATATCTTCTTGAATGCACAGCATACCACTGAAACATATACCATAGAATATATTCTAATCAATTGTAGTGGTCATACATCAATGATTTTATGACATGACTAGTCCAGAGAACATCTTCAAGAAGATAAAGTAGAGTTTACTTGAAGGAGGTTGGTCTATACCACAAATTTTAGCACTATATAACTCTATTGTAGAGGTATAATTGGAGACTGATGGAACCAATGACTCAAAGGACTGTTTACAAGCCATATATTTAATAATAAAAAAAAAAACAACTTTTCAGCATTAAGTAACCAACCAAGTTGATATTCTACTAGAACAGTCAATCAAAAAAATTGGTGCTACTTTGGCTTGTTATCTACAAAGAAATATCTGCACCATACAAATTTTATTTTGGAATGATATCTACATAATATTATATAACATAAAGAAAATGCAAGTAAAATATTAAAATTTTTTCTTTTATTTATAGCAATAAACAGCATGTACATGAGTTAAAATGATTACACTGTACAAATTTTAATATGGAATGATATCTACATAGTAAACATGGTGCTACTTTGGCTTGTTATCTACAAGCAAAAGACAACGCCAAAGTAGCACCTGTTTTACTATGTAGATATAATTTCAAAATAAATTTTGTACGGTGTAGATATTTTTTCCTTGTAGATAACATGCCAAAGTAGCAACAAAAATGTTTTCACCCTCCAGCAAGTATATAAAGAAAGATTATATTTTCAGTTTCACGACATTTTACTTGTATCCCTAAAATGGTTTTAAGACTTGAGATTGATTTGGTTAATGCAATAATGCAACAGGATGCTACTAAGTTTCATTGTTGGAAGTTGTCAGGCTATTTGGAAAAAGGAAACCATGCCCTTTGTTCAACATGACTTTTTCTCTTCATTCTATATCTAATTAAAGTGAAAAATGCTATAAATCATAAAATAGCAGTTGTGTTTTTCTGCTATTACAGAAGATCAATTGCATCAACAGTTCACTGACAGACTTCTTTATTTTACATTTGGTACTGTGACAAATTTTTATGACAAATTATATCCATATATAATTTTTTTTTACTGCAATTGCAACACTGATGTTACCATATAAAAAATGGAAACAAAATATTTATTGTAAATAATATATTTATAAATTATTAGTTATTTATAATCATGGAATAGGAATATGTACAAAGTGTGACAATTTAATTCCTGGAATGACCATGACAGGCAAACATTTGTACACAAGCACATTCAGACATGTTCCAACTTCTGTTTTCTTGAGACACAGACCAGATGTACCATTTGTGATGAATATTAGAGGAAGTTGCACATGTTTATGCTATACTGTTAGTGGAAAATGAATGCAAGTCCCTGGTAAAAAAATCCATTACAAAAATGGTCCATCCACTTTATTCACCCAAAAATTGACAAATACCCAAAAAGATTTGCTGACATTTCTGACATCTATCAACATACATTACTGAAAGGTATTCTGGAAAATGAGTTCCCAAAATGCTTCAAGCAATAACACTAAGTAAACAAACTTTGATTTCACAGGACCATTCTTAGAATTCAATTATCACATCACATATGTACAGAGAAGTTTCTTGATTTCCCCACAAAAACAAAAGCCAACTATTTTTGAAAATGAAGGCAGTTACACTTTAGTCATCTGAATCAAAATGATTAAGAATTGAATTCAACTGTTTTAAAGAAGTTGTTAACATACAATGCATTTTAACAATATATACAAATCAAATGGACTTTCACAAATATTGAATAAAAAATTGTGAACATGAGCATGTGAAATGTTGTATAATGTGAAGGGTCATTCCATATCAATACACCAAATGGTTCTATGGGCATCACCTGAGATTTTGATGAAATTTCAATACATAACAGCTTTTCTAAAGATAAATCAATCCTGAAAATTTTAAATGGTTTTGAAGTTGTGACAAATTAAAATGTGCTTAAAATTACATGGTTTGAGTACAAGCATGATTTTGTCAAACTTGGCACTTTTTTAGTATTTAAGAATTTATCAAGCTGAAATTAT